ACAAGATAGACACATCATAGACGAAGGGCATGAGACCGGCGAGACACGTACAGCAGTCAGGAAGCAAAGACCAGGAAGGAGCCAGGGCCAAGACACCCTTCAAAGGAACGTCCCAACCGACCCGCTTCCCCTAACTGGTCTCCACTTCCCACAGTTCCACCATCTCCCAACGGTCTATTCAAATTCTGATCCATAATCAACAGATTAAACCACTGAACAAAGCCAGAGTCTTCGAGGTCTAATCATCCCTGGACAAGCCGTCTCAGACTAGATGCGCACCTGCCTGGCTGCCTAGGCATCTATCAGTCTAATCAGGTTGACAATGAAGACCATAACTTCCAGCGACTTTGGTTAGTGGCCTTTATTTGTCCAGTGCTGGAGACTGAACTGAGGGTCTTGTGCATGTTAGAAAAGTCTCTACCAAAAAAAAAACTTTATCCCCAGGCCCAGGGACTTCTTTGAAGCAACTGGCTATGTCACAGAATTATGCAATTGGCTTCAGTGTCCATTAGGGGATCTTCTTAGGTTCCTGGCCTATAACATTATCATAGGTCACATTTGGCCCCAGTCAGCTTAGATGTGGGAACCACAGCTTGCTGATGGTCATGCCTTTTCATATGGTGCCATTTACTGTATTCAGCACTGCTAGACTTCACCTGACTTCCTCCTGCCATGGGAAGTGATCGTATAACTCATGTTGGTCATGGTGATTGGTTCAGAATTGAGCACGTGATTCAAACAGGACCAAACAGAATTGCTTGTGACACTTATATATGAACTTTGATAGGAAAGTCTTTTGTCTTTGAGTCAAGATCCATAAGGCTGTAAACTAGAAGCTGTGCACAGACACCCTCCCACCACACCAAGAGCACAGGGAGGACCAGAGGCAGCAAAATGACAGCCAATGAAGGAAAAAAACACTGACCCGCCATGTCTGAAATCAGCAAGACACTCCCTCAAAGACCTCATTTATAATAATTAATAGCAGATTATCTTTATTTCTCAGCACAGATTAAGATGAGTTTTGTTACTTAGAAAGAATTCTAATATATATTTATCAGTTTGGAGACTATAATTCTAATATATACATATATATGTATATACTATATGAAATATATGTATCAATCTGTGTTCTTTTTTCATTACTATGATACCAAAGGCAGGCTACTTTATAAAGCTAAAGAAGTTTATTTGGTTCATGGTTCTAAAAGGGGGGAGGTCTAGGCCCATATCTGGGGAAGGCCTTCTAGCTGGCTGACTCCTGAAACATCCGCAAGAGTTACGACGAAGCAAGAGACAGAGGGAGTGTGTCTCTCCCTCTCATTACAAAGCCATCAGGTTTCAATCACAGAGTTTCCATGCTGGTGATCTCATCTAATCCTGATCCTTTCCCAGAGGCCCCACCTCCTAACTCCAGAGTTGGCTTAGTGTTATTAACATATGACTCTGGGGATTAAACTCCTTGTATGAGTTTGAAGCAGCTAATCACCTGTAAACCACAGCTAGGACAAACATTTCTCTAGAAGGATTAGAGGTCTGTTCAATTTTAAAATAGGCTGTCTTTTTTTTTGTTTTTGCTCTGGGTTGCTGCAAAGCTTTACAGTTTTGTATAGCTACACAAAGTGAGGATCCACACCCATAGAAAGCTTAAGAAAGACTGAATTATTCTAGACAAAGCATCTTGCTTTCCAACAGAAGAGCTAAGTCTTCGAACTTTGGATGCCCTTTATAGATGTTACCAAGAAAAAAAATGTAAAGGCCAAGTTACACAGAATAGCATGTTTAACATGATGTTTTAAATACTTCAAAAGTACCTTAAAGAAAGATGAAGCAATAATAAGATGTAAATAATAAGATATAGATCTTTTTTCTTGTCTAGGATCTGTACGATTGGGCAAAAATACCAATAGAAATTTCAAAGCCATATGCATTTTTGAAAATAAAGTTTCTTATCGTGTCATTTCTTTTTTTTAGAAACAACACAACCCATCTGAATTATGTTCTAGTGGGCTTCTTTCCAGTGCAGTCTCAAGGAATTCCCTATATTTGGAAGGCAGGAAAACTTCCCAGCCAAGTCCAAGAAGAGTGTCTGAGACTCAGGCTTCATGCCTGGAGCAGATCACCATGCCTCCTGGCCCAGGATCCTGTGCTTATCTTTAACTAGAATAAACAGTGTCCAGGGTTCTTGTCTCTTTTTGTTTTTCCTTTGTTCGTTCATATTTTTTATGCATCTATGTTTTAATTTGATGCATTTAAATTTTTTGTTTGTAAACAAGTTTGAGGAGTTGAAATGATCGATTATAAATTATTTTACATTTAAAGTTTAGTACGTCACCAAATGCAACAAAAAGGTCAAGACCAGCCATTAAACATTAAACCCAAAGTCCCACCTGACCCATTCTTCATCACAGGGATCTTTGGGACACAGCTCCAGGGTCTTTTTGTGTACCTCCACACCTCACAGCATTTCCCTTTATGGGAAGCAGAACCCAGCATAAGGAGAAAACCCAGAGTAACTAAAGCAGGACAGGAAGGTGTGCTGGAAGGTCATGAGTGTTCAGAGCCGAAGATGCAGCCCAGGGGCCGGGAGGTGGGGTACAGACACCCGGGGAGCTCTCCTTTCACAGGGCAGTTGATAGCTCTGGCTAAATGCCGCCTCAGCACATTTGGCCCATGCATCCATGGGTGAATAAAACTACTCAAAATACAAAATATTCAGGGAGGGGAGACCCTGCATCTACTGACCATGTAGACATTTTCTTTGTCATTTACCCCACCGCATGTTTTAATTAACTACACAGCATTATCGCTGAAGCAGCTATCAACAGCAAGCCAGGGATGTTTCAGAAAGCTCAGAGGGCTGTGTGGAGGTTATATAAAGTATTACACCATTTTACATAAGGACTTGAACTTCTGCCCATTTTAGCATCCAAGAGGAGTCCTGGAACCAATCCCCTATGGATACTGAGGGATGCCTGAATGAGAAAACAGATGTCTTCTCAATTCCCCTTACACTCTTTACTACCACCCCTCCCCGTCAAAGAAGCTGCATTTGACTTACAAGGACTTCCAGCTCAGATTCTGTTAGACCAGTAGATGTTCCCAACACACACGGCTGACAGAGGCATCACCAACCATGCGTACATTTTCAGCCATTACCCGAAAGGCCTTTGCATCTTCCTTTCTACTGTGCCCTCTCCCAACATGGTTGTTTCTTTAGTTGCAATCACAGATGGAGGTTGACATTCAGATTCCAAACATTCAAACTACTTAGCCTCAAACAAACTCCTGGCTCTGATGTCTCTCCTCTGGTAATAACACAGGGATGTGTAGGGCTGCCCGGATTTCCCAGGGTCCGACGTGCTCTGAGCTCCGTCCAAATTCTCATAGGCTTAGTTAAATTCATGTTGTCTTAAAGGTCCCTTCCTAGTAAAAGCTTCTCTTGCCAGAGTCTAGAATTCTCTTCAAGCCACAGAAAAGGATTTTACTCACCCTGGTAGATGAACAGCTCTTTCTGATGAGAAGGGTCTGGGCAAGAGGGTAAACCCAGAGTAATCCTTCTTGCACAATGTGAAATCCACAATACTTGTATACAGATGCTAAGTCAACAGCCATCACTTCCTGTCCTAGCTCCTTATAGGCTTCTTTCTCCACTTTTTAAATGTCATGGTAAAATAGTCATAAAATTTACCCCACTAATCATTATTAAATGCATAGTTCAGTGGCATTAGGTTTGATTGTTCATTATTTTGTGTGTGGGCGGATGCATGCCACCGAGTGTGCATGGAGGTCAGAGGACTTGTGGGAGTTGGTCCTCTATTTCCATCATGTAGGTTCCAAGGATCATATTCAAGGATCAGGCTTGGCGGCAAGCGCCTCTTTACCCACAGCATCACCTCCAGCCCTGGACTAGATACGTTCATATCGTTATGTAAGCATCACCACCATGCATCTCCATAGCCCTCTTCATCTTTCAAAACTGAAATTCTTTACCCAGTGAACAACTACCTGTCCCATCCCACCCCCACCCCAGCCCTTAGTAAGTTCTATTTCTACTGGATTTCTAAGACATTTCTTTCGAATATCTTAGAAAAACAGTATATTTTATTTGTCTGGTCCATCAATCCAGGTTTATTGTAGAAAAAAAAAATCAGCTTTGAGAGGCTTCCCCTACCACCCCAGTGAACGCCCTGGCTCATTCTCTTGTAGTCTCTGAACCCGCATTAACCTAAGGTCTCTCGGTGGATGTGTAGCTCTACACACCACTGAGCTCTTCAGCCTTTTCCTCAGCAGATTGCCAGAGGAGGAGGAACGAGTGTACCACAGGTTGACAGACATGAAAAACAGAAACCTCAGGAAGTAGAGAAAGCTGGGTGTGGTGATGCATGTCTAATTCCAGCACTCTGGAGGCTGAGGCAGGAGGATCACAGGCTCAGAGGCAGTTTGGGCTGTAGAGCAAGCCCCTATCTCAAAAAAAGGAGGGGAGGGGAGAAGGTGGCTCTCATGAAACCTGCTTCTGTCCCTGAACCCATCAGCCTGCCTGTTCCTTCCTACACACACTGTCTCCACAAAATGAGTCAAGAGTCCACTGTGGTGATGTATGTTCTAGGCCCTAGGCCTGTCCCTAAAAGAATGCACATAAGTTGCCTTCCTTCTGTGTCTTAATCAATCTCTTACTTTGGGTCAAATACACTCTAAAAGGGTCAGGCACCGTACAATAAAGCTTGAGCACACATTGTGAATACTAATGGAGGTGGATAGTGTCCGAACCAGGGCAGGATGAAGGAATGCAAAGGGAAGGCGGAGCCTGGCTTTCTCTATGCTCCCTGCTCTCCCCACATGCAGAAGCCTGGGCCACTGCCACCAGCGACACTTCCCTCCTGCTCTGCGGTCTACTAGAGAGGTGAGGAGCTGGCTACAGGGCCAAGCCTCCTTGCGCTTGCTGTTCTAGCAGCCCCGCCCAAGCAGGAAGAAGCAGAACTAAGAATGTGCGGGCACACCTCGTTGGACTGGTTCAGGTCCTGCAAGGTGCAAGTCTTGAATGAGGTAATCCACAATGTGCAGGTTATTGTTCTGAGCTGCGAAGTGGAGAGCATTCATTCCTTCCTGAAGAGAGGTGAAGTCAGGATGAAGGCGTTAAATGTTTACCACAGAACCCTGGAATTCCCGTCCCAGCACCAGTGACCTGAGCGCCAGTGGGACCCCAGAACTCCCACCCCGGTACTGGTGAGGTGAGAGCTCATGTCCCCGTGGGACCTGCATACCTACCTGGCTCTTGGCTCTCTGGTCTGCTCCAGCTTTAACTAGCATGAGCATGATCTCGAAGTTTCCAGACCAGGCTGACAGGTGAATTACTGTCAGACTGTGCTTCCCCAAAAACAGAGAAGAGAAGGACTGATTACACAAATGAACGGCCTCAGCTAACACAAGCCTAGGCAATACTACATTATTGGAAAAATAAGAAGTAATTTAATATGTAACAAAAGTGATATTGTAATTCTATAGAGGACGTATAAGTAATACAGGTACAAGTGGGTCTCCATCTGAAGGAAATAAAAGGAAACGCACTACAGTATACTAAGAAATTATAAATACATACAACAGCACAAACACACAAACAATCACTATTTTTGAACTAGACGATAATGTGCACTTTCTTGATTTAGAGTTATAAAAGGAAAAATGGAACATAAACCTTAAACAAATGACACTTTCAAAACTCTATCATTAGTAAAGATAGATGGATCTCTAATACATGGAATGTTTTTTACAAAGCATCGCCAACAACAAAAGACAAACCTCAGAAAAGCATGCAGATGAGCCCGGTCTCCTAGGATACTATAAAAAAAAGCAAAATGTTACTGTCTAACGGGCAGTTCAATAAAAATCAAAATATGCGCCAGCCGACGGTGGCACACGCCTTTAACCCCAGCACTCAGGAAGCAGAGACAGGCGGATCTCTATGAGTTTGAGGCCAACCTGGTCTACAGGGTGGTTACACTGAGAAACACTGTCTCCAAAAAACAACCAAACAAACAAACAAACAAACAAAACACAAGGAATGGGGCTCAAGGTGAAAAGATGGTACAAGTTGTGCCTCTCTGTGCATGAATAAAGTTGTCAGATTGAGAGATTCATTTCGTAACTTCCTGACCTGTGGGAAGCTGTATGCTGAGTTGTTAAATCGTACACTGAACTAGCCAAGATGTGGAAGGAAACAAAGAGCCAGCACTTAACACTGGCTGTCTCAAGAAGGTGGCATCAGGAGGGGGGGAACAGACCTAGGCAGGCAGCTCAAGCTGTAGAAGCAGGGGAGAGCCGGTGCTCTAGGCGTGGTCCTTAGGGACAGTCAATGCCGACTCAGACTCTGCTCACTCCGCAGCTGCCAGGTCCTGTCATGCTGCTCAGCTTAGTTATGCTCAGCTGCAGCTTCACATTCCAGACCATTTTGATTTTGTTTTCTTTTGTTTCTGAGATAGAGTCTCACTATGAAGAGCAGGCTGGCTTCAAAATTTGCCACACTCCTGCCTCAGCCTCCCAAATCCTGGGATTACAGATATCCTCCAACCATGCCCAGCTGTCTTTTTCCTTATTGTTAAGGTCATGTGTATTCTTTTCTGTTTCCTTTATCTTGTCAAAAAGCAACCCATGTCTTCTGTGCATCATCTACGCCTCAAATAACTAAGGTTTTGATCCAGTATACAGGCTTGTTACATGTGCATATCCGAGTAAATAACCAAGAAATACAGGTCTGTAGACTTCTCCTGTTTGTGACATGGATAAGCCCCTTGGTATTTCTTTGGCTGCTCCAGACACTGTATTCAGGTGTTCTCTTATTCTGAAGAGAGTTTGGTTTGGGAGTGAACTAGCAAGTCCCAGTTTATTACTATGTAATTCTTAACCAGTGCCTCCTGACTAGGGGCAAGTCATTTCCAGGGGACACCTAGAAATGTCTTGGGATATTTCTGACAGTCATGACTGTGGGAGGCCAGCTTTTAAAGGTTCCTATGAGGAGAGAGGGATAGGAAACTTTTAGATAGAAAGATAGTGGAGAGGAGAAAGACAGAAACACAGGATAGCCTTGGGAGGACCTGGATCAAAATCCACTGGCTCCTTCTGTCTCCTCAAAGGGGCTTTTTATAACAATTCCAAGGGGTGGGACAAAAGACCTCCCCCTTGCTAGATCAAAGCATACAGCCAAGTGTAGACCCTTCCAAACACTTGTAACTATGCCTGTGGCCAAATCATCCCCTTATGCCATGTTGCTGGGTAAAGCAGCGCAGATTCTCAGACGCTGAGTAAGTTTTCACTAGGAAACCTCTGTGGGTCTCTACACATGACTCAGGGTGATATTGGTACTTAAAGGGCAGAGGGCAGGCATGTTGTTGAATGTACCACAACACACAAGGCTGCCCCACAGCAAGGAACTGCACGGTCCCGAGTGTCACTGCGTCAACAAACACTTCTTTCTGCTGAGAAACCTTGCTGTAAATGGTCATGCTCCATCAGACTTGTAGCTCAGCTCTCACTCTGCATAGAGACTTGGTGCACTCCATAGTTAAAACACCGATAAACAGAAAGCTTAGCGGTTTCTGCACTCTTCCTTTTACAGGGAACACTGTGACCCATCATGTTGGTTGAGGTTCTCTTAGGGGCACTAACCATGATTCTCCCCTGTCATTTAGGCTCCCATCTATCGCTGTTCCATAGTCAGTGGTCTTCTAAATCTGGCTTCACATATGGTCCTGTTTGGGACAGATGATAAATCACGTAGTGATATGCCCTCTCTTTCCCCTAAGAGATCATTCCTAATTTTGAAGTGAACAGGCTTTAAAAACCCCTAGCACGGGTTGTAAAATCTAAACTCTGGGAATCCAAGCAAGAAACAACTCGAGTTTCTGAAACCACAAATTCCTGCTGGAGGCAATGAATCACCATGTACAGTGTACAGACATACATTTCCCCAGAGCACCCTCCATGCCACAAAGTCTTGTCCTGGAGTGTAGGCAAGCTTGAGCCCATGACATGGGTGGCACTCGGCTCACACGCTCTTCAAAGTACAAAATGCTGGAAAGTCACTGATGAGCTCTCCCCATAACCAGCCTAGTCTTAGGTGAGGAGCAGTGCACCCAAGGACTTTCAAGAAAGCAGACATTTACCCTGGATTAAGAACCTCCTTTTATTTAGCTTATCTCAAAGCTCATGGATGCCACCCACTTTAGTCCTTAGTGGCTGAGCCATGCATCTGCCCCTGAGCCTCAGTGCCTTGAATAGTACTAGTATATTACAGTATTTATATTGCCCCTCAGTTTGACAGTGGGGTCCTTAAGACCAGGATTGTCTCATGTCATTATATCCATATCAAATATAATCATCTGAGGGTTGGTTTTTTTTTTTTTTTTTTTTTTTTTTTTTGGTTTTTCGAGACAGGGTTTCTCTGTGTAGCTTTGGAGCCTGTCCTGGAACTCACTCTGTAGCCCAGGCTGGCCTCGAACTCACAGAGATCCGCCTGGCTCTGCCTCCCGAGTGCTGGGATTAAAGGCGTGCGCCGCCGCCGCCGCCGCCGCCGCCGCCGCCGCCGCCGCCGCCGCCGCCGCCGCCGCCACCACCACCACCACTGCCCAGCATCTGAGATGTTTTTACATCATGGATTTTGTTTGTTTGTTTGTTTGGGGTGAGTGTGTGTGTGTGTGTGTGTGTGTGTGTGTGTGTGTGTGTGTGTGTGTGTGTGTGTGTCTTACATGTAGAGACCAGAAGTCAATGTCAGGTATCCTCCTCGGTTGCTCTTAACCTTGGTTTTGCTGTTTATTTATTTATAGACAGAGTCTCACCATGTAGTCCTGTTATGTAGGGTACGGCTCCAGCTAAGTTGGAGCAAGTGTCCTCCCCTCTGTTCCTCCCACCAAAAGCAGCTAAACTCTCTGGATAAAAACCCAGCTATCCGAGGACTCTGGAAAACTAATGGAAATAGGCAGATCGGGGAAAGTAATTCAAACTCATGAATACTGACAATCCTGAGGAAGCTGTTGTTTCCATTGTTTTCCTAGAGACTCAAGGTGGTTCCAATTCTGGAACTGGACATGGACAAAAGGGGACAGAAGGAAGCCCCTGAGGAAAGGAAGGTGACAGAATTCATGCCTCATTGCTCTCTTCTGTCCCTGACAGCTTAGGGGACCTGGAACATGGTGTGTGTGCAGGAGGGGTTAATTGTGGACAAGAAGGAGCTTGCGTGTACACTCCTGGACTGCGCCCTGGGCTGCACCTGGACAGACTCTTAACCCTGTGACAAACAGTTTGGAGAACTGAACTCCAGTGAAGACTATTGTCTAGGATCAGAGTGGCTCTGGGGACAAATCTGAACTGCATTACAAAACTTCTGGAAACTGGAGTGACATTATATAAAACTTGGTCATCACAACCCGTTTCTGCTCTGGACCAAAATCAACCCGATGGACCGCTGCCCTAATCTGTTTTAAGGTGCTGTAATGAGCTGTATAATAATAGCAGCCTGGTAATTAACAAGGAGAGGAAATAGGTTTGGCTCACGGCTCTGGAGGGTTAGCAGTTCAAGCTCAAGAGGATTCCTTGGTGAGCTACATCATACCATGGGGTGGGGGCCCACCCAATCAGGAACCCTCCCCTGAGGAAACAGCATTGATCGATTCGTGAGGGCACAGTGCTATGAGCTAGTCATCTCTTAAAGGTCATTATTTCTGCCACATGAATTACGGGGACATGCTGAAACCATAGAAACACCAGAACTAAAGGAAACATACGACCATAAAATGTCTAGAAGAAAAATATGAGAAATTTGCCATGGTTAGGAAAATTGTCCCTACATATATGCCTATCAGTCTCAGGACTTATTTCTAAAATGAGGAACATTAAGCCAGGCACGATGGCACATGCCTTTGATACCAGCCCTCAGGAAGCAGGGGTAGGAGGATTTCTGGGTTAAGGCTAGCCTGGTCTACCTACAGAGTTCTAGCTCAGCCAGTGTCATATGATGAGACTGAGACTCTGTCTCAAAACAAAAGGAACATCAAATTTTCATTTCATTAAAATTAAAAACCTCTGCTCTGTGAACACTAAGAAGGCAGTCTGCAGATACGAGAAAATAATACAAAATACGCACCTAAGGTTTGATCTGTTCTCAGAGCCTGTAATGAACTCCCAAAACTTTACAATTAAAGGTTAATTTAAAAGAAAGTAAAAGGATAATCAAACCCAGTTTTTAGAAACATTCAAAAGATCTGGGTGGGGATGCAGCTTGTGGTAGAAGGCTCAGTTGATATGTGGAAAGCCCTGGTACACACCCCCAGTACACACGAAAAATCTGAGCAAATGTCACTAAGGATGACATACATGGTAAGTAAGAGGTAAAAAGACACTTAACGTCATCCCCTAGTGGAGAAGCACAAACCAAACCACAGTGAGATGCCTTCATTCTGAACAGAATGGCTAGAACCGAATGAGAAACACCCGTCAATACCAGGCGGCCACGTGGGTGCAATGCAAAACTGGCCTCTTGCATTGTTGGTGAGGGTGAAAGCAGCCCAGTCCCCTGGCAGGTCTGCAATTCATGTCCAGTTATACACACACACACACACACACACACACACACACACACACACACACACAAACACACACACACACACACACACACACACACACACACACACACACGCGCGCGCGCGCGCGCCCTATGGGCCTAGCAGTCTCATATACCAAAGAGAGGAAAAGTTGTGTCTGAAAAAACATACAAGAATGTCTACAGTGCCTTTTCTTTGTGTGTGTGCATAAACACATATATGTGGAGGTCCAGGGGGATTGCTGATATTTTTCTTTATTGATCTCTACATTATTTTTTTAAACAGCATCTCTCAGGCACCTGGAGCTCACCATTTTGACTATGTTGGAGGAGAGGGAGGCACCAGGATGCACCCATCTTTGTGACTCCTGTGCCCGGCACTGCTGTTATAGGTGTGTGCAGCCATGCCTGGCTTCTTGCGTGGGTGCTAGGCATTAAAAATTCATGATTGTGCAGCAGATATCTGACCCACTGGGCTGTCTCCCCAGCATCAGTAACTTTACTTATAATAATCAACTAGAAGCCATCCTCACGTCCTTCAAGTGGTAAACAGGTAAACTAGGCTACATCCATAAACAAAAATACTTTTCAGTTAAAAAGGGGAAGGGGGGCATTTAGAAAAGACGTGGGTGAACATCAGCAGTGTTCTGCTGAGTGAAAGAAATCAGCCTCAAAGATTATATGACAGGTGTTATCGCATAGGTGACAGTCTCAAGAAGGTAAAGGCACAGAGATCAGTGGCTGCTGCGGGGAGACAGCTTAGAATGCACAGACAACATGACAGAAATTTGGGGTGATGCATGTTCTTGTTAAGTTTTGTTAGTTTTTTGTTGTTTGTTTGTTTGGGTTTTTTTTCCTCTATTTCTGAAGCTGGATTGAACACAGAGCCTTGTGCATCCTAAACACACTACCACTAAGCTACACCCCAAGGCCCTGCTCTACATTTTTAAAGTAGTGGTGGTTATATAAACCTGCATGCCTGTCAAAAATCAGCACTGTACTTTAAAAAGGAAGTTAATCAGGCAATATGCTGGGATTAAAGTAAAATTAAAACACAAAGATATTGTAAGAAATTTTCAATGACAAAATATAAATATATCTGGGTAATCACGTCTCTGGCCAATGTATCTTTTATGGGCTAACTAATAGTCAAAATAACCAAGCCAGAGTTTGCATACCTAAAGCACATACCCCTGAATTACCACAGCCATGATAAGGATGTAGCAGGCTAGTAAAACCATCTGTGTGGACGTCCGAGTTTGTAAATTCAAGGCCTGCCTGGATTACATAGTGGGTTTGAGGCCAGTCTGAGCAACTTAATGAGACCTTGTCTCAAAATAAAGTTGTTTGATCTTGTTGTTGTTGTTGTTGTTTTTGTTTGTTTGTTTGCTTTGTTCATTTGTTTTGTTTTGTTATTTAGGTGGGGATAAGCTCAGTGATGGCATGCTTACCTAACATATGCAGAGTCCTGGGTTTAGCCAGTAGCCACGCCCCTTCCCCCCAAACCACGGCTGTTATACAATTAATTATATTCAGAGAATGAGTGGGCAGTCATCTGGTGGTAATTTTTATTTCTGGATTACTACATAACAATCTGCTTGCTCACCAGCGCCATGGCAATAATCAAGAGAGATCTGTGCCTCCCTGGTGACACAAAGGAAAATCCCAGCACTATCAAATCTACACTTTGTCTGTGACTGCCAACGAAGCCAGTCCGATGACTAACAGGGAAGAACAGGAGCCTCTTACCACCCAAATATTTACTCCCAGGCCCTGGGCGAGGCGAAGAGAAAACAGTGTTGAACATTCCCTCCCAGGGTGTCCAGACCAGAGAGAACACAAGGGCTCTGTGAGCATCTCTAAATGGTGTAAAGCTGAGAACCATGGACTAGGTAGGGTCCCATGGCGGAAGATGTGACTAGTTCCTCTGACTTCCACACATATGCTGTGGCACACACATGCCTGCACTCACACACCATACGTGCACACTGATTATAAATTAAAGTAATAAAAAAGAGCTATGATCTATATAACTAATTAAGAGCTCAGAGTTTTGTTGTTTTTTGTTTTTTTTGTTTTTCTTGGTTTTTTTTTTCGAGACAGGGTTTCTCTGTGTAGCTTTGTGCCTTTCCTGGATCTCGCACTGTAGACCAGGCTGGCCTCGAACTCACAAAGATCCGCCTGCCTCTGCCTCCCGAGTGCTGGGATTAAAGGCCTGTACCACTACCACCCAGCGAGCTCAGAGTTCTATAATGAATAGAGCTATCACTGTCTTCTGCAACAAGAGATGATAAGCACAATTTGGGGTCTTTTTGGCTAGCTTCTTTGTGCCACGAAGTACTAAATGGAGGTGGGCAAGTAGGTGGAAAGCCCTCAGGATGGGTTTTGTGATCTTGGCAGACAGACAGAAGCTGGTTTGTAGCTCAAGGCACAGTCTCTGGAACCAGAAACGTTCGGTTCAAAGCTGCCTCCTGTCCTTCCTAAATGTAACTTTGAGGGACAGGATCTTTAATCTCTGTATCTGAGTCTCCTTATCTATAATTGGGCATTCTACTAATACTTTTTTTTTCATAGGATTAGATGGGAGATGGCATTAAATACCCACCCTGATACCTGTGCCTGGCACAGAACATGTATCTGATAAGTTTTATTTGGAATCAGAGTCCACGGGACAAAGTCACAATGTAAAGTCCCTGGAGCTGATGAGTGTGTGTCTTTCATGAATCCGACCATAATGTGGACAATCACACTGCTTTGGTAAGTGAGGCCAGGGCCGTAAGGTCAATACGGGAAAATAAGTGAAAATCCAAGTCTTAGTGAGTGACCAATTCAGTTACCAAGTACAAAGAGCACACAACGTGTGTGTCTTCTCTCAAGAGACCTGTCCAACGATGCGCACTGCCGACGGAAGTGTGCCCACGAGAGGAAGACATCTGTAGAGATAAATTCTCCTGTATGCAGGTCATGCACCAATTCAGTCTACTGAAGTCTCCACGGAACGTGAGCTTACCTTGTCGGCAACATCCACCCTGGCTTTGCGACTCAGTAAGAAATCCACCGCAGATAAATGACTCCTCGCCACTGCAAAGTGCAGGGCTGTGTGGTTCATCTGAGGAAACGGGATTCGTATCTTTGGTTGTCGGACCTCTTAACACCCCGTCTCCTTTGTTTGTTTTGTTTTTTGTTTTGTTTATGAGACTGAGGATCGCAGTGTAGCCCAGGCTGGCATCTAAGGCTGGCGTCTAACTTGTGGTCCTGTGCCCGCCTCCTGAATGATGGGATTACAGACTTGAGCCTCCATGTTCAGCTGGGTCTCCTGTCTCTCACATGGTCGGTACTTTCCTATAGACTATTTGCATTCTGATTATTTGGTTGAACTTTTTGCTTTTTCCTTTGAAAGGGGTAAGAACTATGTGCAGCAGAAGCCTACCTTTCCTGTTGTCAAAAGGCCCCTGAGAATCTGGCAATCCACTGAAGGCTTTGCCCAGACTGATGCCCTGTATAACTTGCCACACAGTGATGTCATAAAAGTCATTCACAAAGCAAAGCTGTATTTTCTTATATACAATCATTAATAATGGTAATTTTTTTCACAATATATGTTAGTCAATGTTCTGTTTCTGGGACAAAATAACTGAGATAAGCCATTCATAAGGAGGAAACCTTATTTGGGCTCACAGTGTTGGAGTCTCAGTTATAACTGGCAGGAAGGATGTGAGACAGCAAAGCTGCCCATCTCCCATTCAACAGAAGGAGAGAGAGGGAGAGGGTGGGGGACCAGAGACCCCTCCAAGAGTAGACTCTCAGGGATCTGTCCTCATCTACTAGGCCCCATCTCTTAAACATTTCATCAGCTTCCACTGTGTGGCAACCAAGCCTTCAAGATGGCTTTTGGAGATACTTAGGATTTAAATTGTTGAATATATTGATAATATATAGAATATATTGATAATTCATGACAAAATTTCCTAAATGTCTCAGTTTGTTCTTTTTCTTTCTTCTATATATTTTCTGAAGAGTTTAAATTTTATGTGTGTGAGTGTTTTGCTTGTATGTATATATACGTGACATGTGTGCCCGAAGAGGCCAGAAGAAATCAGATCCCCTGGCACTGGAGTCACAGTGATTATGAACCACCACGTAGGGGCCGGGAAATGAATTGAGTCCTTTGTAAGGGTGACAAGTGCCCTGCATCATTACGCGCCGACTCTCTAGCATCCCTCTTCTACAATTAAAAAAGAACGTAATTTGCATAGAAACAAATAAATCGGTTTGGAAGGGAGTGAAGAAGGAAGGAAGGAAAGAGGAAGAGAAGGAAGGAAGAGAGGGAAGGAAAACAGGAAAGGAGGAAGGAAGGGAAGGAAAGAACAGGAGAAGCCAGGCTGGAGGAAGAGAGGAAGGAAGGAGGGAAGCAGAGAAGGGGAAAGTTAGAGAATGGGGGAGCGGGGGAGAAAGCGGGCTACTGAAATCTTCTCCTTCGAAGAAAAAGGCACAGTTTGCTCCCAGGATGCCCACAGACAGTTTACCTCATTTCCCACAATGTATGTTTTGCTAATCAGAAGTATTCGTGCCACGTTTTTTCATAAGTACTGTTTTAGTTCCCCCTAAAGACGCCTGGGCATGGACAGACTACTCTTGTTTCACACAGGGAATTACAGAAAAAAGAAAATGGTTTAAGATATTTTCTTTTCTTGCTTGCTAAACTGGCGGTGTTTACAAAACACAAGTCATCTTGACATCGTCTGCGGGGTAGAGTTTATTCTATCGTGTCAGCCTCCCCATACACTCTATTTGTATAAGAATGTAATCATACCGCTTACACTTAAATATGCATCATCACAGGTTCTTAAGGAACTCTGCGACTAACCATGACAACAAGTTGCTATAATCAAGATTAAATAGCTGTCATTAGAAAGAATATTAATTAAAAAAAAAAAGGGTAGCTCAGTGGTAGGGCATTTGCCTAGTCTGTGTGAGGCCCTGAGCTTAGTCCCCAGGCCACAATCTAGGACCAAGTCCAGGCCTATAACCATGATGGTGGGCCTTCCAGCCCACCCACAGGCTTTGAGATGTGCTAAAGACCCTGTGCACTTCCTTCTGTAGAATGAAGGAAAGAGAGGAGAGGGAAGACTGGAGGGTGGGGGGTGACACCCAAGGATGTCCTCTGGCTTTCATACACATGCCCACCCACGTGAACACCTACTCACAAACAGATGTGAGTGCGTATTCATGAGTGCACATACACACACACACACACACACACACACACACACACACACACACACACAAACACACGAATGTCTGGGGAAATAGATCAGTGCTAGGTTTCTGAGCATGTGCGAGGCTGTAGGTTAAAAACCAGTATCACAGCTGCTTTGTGCAGAAAATTTGAAATTGTTTTAAACATGTATCAGAGGTTATACTTCCTGACAGTTAAGAAAATGACTGCTGCTTTACTTTCTCAAAAGTGAATCTCCATGCTCAGAATAATTTTAAAAGATAAAATTATTGTATGTGTTTTAGCAAATAACTATTTTCAAAGGGTTTTTTGTTGTTGTTGTTGTTTGGTTTTTTGTTTTTGTTTTTGTTTTTTTAACCTGCCTGCTTCTTTTCTCTAGTTTTCTTCTCTTTTCAAAGCCATGGCTGGCCTGGAACTCACTATGTAGACTAGATTGGCCTCAAACTCACAGAGATTCCTTTGCCTCTGCCTCCATGCATGTTCACAGAAGCCAGAAGAAGGAGTTGAATCTCCTGGAACTGGAGTTAAAGATGGTCAGGAGCTGACATGTGGGTACTGGGAATCGAACCCTCATCCTCTACAAAAAAATAGCCCGTATTCTCAACAGCTGAGCCATCTCTAAGGCCCCAACCAACTACTGTCTTTTCTTTCCTCCTATCCTCTCTTATTTCCTTTCCCTTCCCCATTTTTTGTTCCAAGAATTGATATGCTATAATTTTTTTCTGGTTTTATATATATATATATATATATATATATATATATTGTGTGTGTGTATGTTTAACATATGTGTATAGTATATATGTTATACATATATGTGGATGTATGTACAGATATATGTATACACACATATAATATATATGATGTACATATATATGTACACATATCCCATAATACATCAAAAATATACAATGCACATATATACAAGTTGTGTGTGTAGGTATATACATTTCCATAAGTGCATGCATAAGCACATACCCCATCACATGCACTCATGCACACATATGCAACTGCTAAAGATCATTCTGCTACACGTGCTGCATGACTTAGTGCAGTTTTGTTTCTATGACTTCTCTGCCTGGAACAGCTACATATTTTGTGAAGCCCGAGTTTAGACTATTTAGGGAACCCTTTTGCGGGTGGAGTAGGGCTATAGGCATTAGAGCACATGTGGAGGCTAGAAGTCAACCCAGATGTTTCTCAGGAGCCCTCCACCTTGATTTTTGAGACATTCTCTCAGTGGGACCTGAGGTTTGCCAATCAGGCAACACTGGCTAGCCAGGGAGCTTCAGTCTCCACCTCCTCGGCACTGGGATACAACCATGTGCCACCATGCCTGGCTTTTCTCAGGGTGCTAGGGCTATAAATCAGGCCTTCGTGCTGTGTGACCAACACTTCACTGACAGAGCTATCTCCCCAGACTTAGGGAGCTCTTTTTATTTTTTATTTTTTATTTTTTTTTTATTTTTTTTTTTTTTGTTTTTTTTTGAGACAGGGTTTCTCTGTGTAGCTTTGTGCTTTTCCTGGAACTCACTTGGTAGCCCAGGCTGGCCTCGAACTCACAGAGATCCGCCTGGCTCTGCCTCCCGAGTGCTGGGATTAAAGGCGTGCGCCACCACCGCCCGGCGGGAGCTCTTTTTAAAGCCCAAATCAGAGGTGTATAATTCGTTGCAGCTACAGTGTCCTCATTACGTCTTATGAAGATCACATAATCATGGGCAACATTGCCAGAGCCTCCCAGTGCCTTGGAAGGGGCCTGAGCAAGCAGGGCCCCCGAGGCTTAGGCTTTATTTAGCATTAACCCACCTCTGTGTTCTGACTACAAAGCACTCTACAGTTCACCCTAAGCAAGTCTTACCTACCAACCCATTCATGCTGATAAACCCTGTCTTGAAGGAACTCCCCACCAAGCCAAGCAATAGGAAATCCATGTTTCTGGCAGTGGACTTTTCCTGCAAAGCCTAGGTACTTGATGACCAAAAGCCAGATTTCATCACCCAACGTGTGGATGCTTTCTCTTTCAAAAGCAGTAAAGTGATAATCCACATACTTCTTTGGATTTTAAATCTGGAAAAACCCAACCATAGAGGGCATCACAGAGAGAAAAAGAGCCCAGGTGTTATAGCAAATCATACCCTGGCTTTCCAGAATGAGAAAGACTGAACCAATCCACAGGATACAATCTAGGACCAAGTCCAAGCCCACAATCCCAATGGTGGACTTGCTTGTCTACCCACAGACAGATGTGCATAAGACCTCGCCCACTTCCCTTCCCTAAGTGAAAACACCCCAAGCCTGCTCTGCCACATAATTCCATCTTTAGCTTTAACACCCACATTAGAGCCCCCACATCTCAGCCAGCCTAGTCTCTTCAACTATTGCTATTATTTCAGTTGACCTATGTACTCCCAAGCCACCACGTGGAATAGTCACTTGTCATGTCTGTGACTTCTACTCACATTGTTCATGGCATTAATGTTAACCTTCCTTTCAAACAGCTTCTCCATAAGAGCCAAATTATTGCTTTTAGCAGAATTCTGAAAGCTTCTCTCAACCAGCAGTACTGGAAGAAAGAAAGGGAGCATGGCCCAGAGGAGTAAAGGAGGTCACAGTTCTCTGTCACGTTTCTGTCAGAGCCTCGCACTCTGAAAGCTGGAATGGCAACCCCGAGACTCTCCTGCTCTGCTGTTGAGGACACAGTGTATTTGCTTAAATATTTCCAAAGCTAGAATACCACGATTCCATCTTCTCCCCACATTGCAAGTGTTTTCGCACCCTCAAAATGTCCCAGACAGACCTCAAACAAAGCATTGCTCAAGAAGGCCACTCTGAAGTTCCACTACCCGTTATCAGCTTAGCAGGTCAGAGGGCCACAGCAGACTGACCTCCCAGGGGACCTTGTTTGTGAGAAGTTAGTACAGGATGAGATCGGGAAGAATGTACATCTTACAAAGATAAAATTTCTATCTGCAGAACTCAGATTCAGTGCCAAACCTGTAGGAACAAAACCTTTCAATGAGCCCACTGTAGAAACTCAAATAAAGGCTAAGAGGAATGAATATGTTTTATTCTCATTTATAAGAAAAGACATAAAATTGGATTCACACCTACTGTGACCATGACATCCCCTCAACCCCTCTCATACATACCTACATGTGACAGGCTTTATTTACTAGTATAGAGAAGATTCAAGAGAGCTAGAGAGTTCTCAAGAGACAGTCTCAATCATGGGAAATAAAATTGAGGTTAAGAATTAAAAGCAGATGCTTGACAAACTATTTTGAACTGAATGAAAAGGCAAAAAGCAGGATTGGAGAGATGGCTCAGCAGCAGTTAAGAGCACTGACTGTTCTTGTAGAGGACCTGGGTTTGGTTGCCAGCACTCACATGGCAGCTTGTAACCGTCTGTAACTCCAGTCAAAGAGGATCCAAAGCCCTCTTCTGACCTTCAAGGGCTGGGGTACATACATGGCGCACATATACATACATTCAGGCAAAACACTCATGCATAAAATAATAAACTAAATCCTAAAAAAAGACTTGTGGGTGAAAGAGCTCAAATGCTAAATAATGGGAAGATATATTGAATCTCTTGGGTTGGAAAAGTAGACATCATAAGCTGCTAATATCCCAAAACTTGTCTATTGATTTAATGCAATTTCAATAAAATATCACACACAAATATTGTAGCTACTAACAGGTTCATTATAAAACCTATCTAGAAAGGTAAAGAACCATTTTGAAAGACCAAATCAATTTTGAAAAAGAAAAGTAATGTTGGAAGAGTCACATTACTTAATTTAGTGTGCAACAATTGTACAATAATGTGCAAGAATAGTTTAATATAGGGTATTTGACATAGAGAGGGATACATACACCAATAAAATAAAACATACAATAAATAAATAAAAACATAAATAAAACATAAAAATAAAGTCACACAAATATGATCAGTTATTTTTTTGACAAAGGTTAACAAGTTTTGACAAGAGAGTGGATAATCATTTCAACAAATGATATTTAAATATTTGGAAAGTATATTGAATCTTGATATGAACTTATGTTATACAGAAATGAACTCCAAATGGATTATTTATGTAAATGAAAACATAAAACTATAAACTTTTAGAAGAAAATGCACAAGAAAAACTTCATAGTCTGTGGTTCAGCAAGATCTTACATGTAGCAGCAACAGTATGACCATGAATGAAAAAAATTTATAAACTGTACTTCATCAAAATGTAAACCTTTCACTCTTATGAGAAGTACCATTAAAGAATAAAATACATGAGCCAGGCGGTGGTGTCTTGTAGCTAGAGTTTTCCACAAATCTCTGACACCCGTCAGTCCCACAGCCTCTCAGACCCGACCAAGTAAACACAGAGACTTATATTGGTTACAAACTGTATGGCCGTGGCAGGCTTCTTGCTAACTGTTCTTACAGCTTAAATTAATCCATTTCTATTAATCTATACCTTGCCACGTGGCTTGTGGCTTACCGGTACTTTACATCTTCCTTATCCTGATGGCAGCTGGCAGTGTCTCCCTCACCCAGCTTCCTGTTCTCTCAATTCTCCTCTCTGTTAGTCCCGCCTATACTTCCTGCCTGGCCACTGACCAATCAGTGATTTATTCATTGACCAATCAGCAACACATTTGACATACAGACCATCCCACAGCAGTGTCTCACACCTTTAATCCCAACACTAAGGAGGCAGAGGCAGGTGGATTTCTGTGAGTTCCAGGATAGCCAGAGCTACACAGAAAAACCCTGTCTTGAAAAAAACCAAAAAACCAAAACAACAACAAAAAACAAATGAGAGAGAGAGAGAGAGAGAGAGAGAGAGAGAGAGAGAGAGAGAGAGAGAGAGAGAGAGAGAATAAGACACTACAGCACAGGTTATTATATAAATGAAATATACCAGATATTTAGCTCTCAATGTTCAACAACCCGATTTAAATACAGAGAAAAGACTTCAGGAGAACAGAGAGGAACCAAGGTGATGAAATAGGTTACCTCTGTATTGAGGGGAGACACTAATTAAGATACCAGTGTGCATCTATGTAAGTGTCTAAAATTGAGGAAAAATACATTACCAAGTTTGTTTCGTTCTCAAGTAAATGGACTTGTTCTACCTACTGTCCTGTGTTAGCAAAATGCCGGAGACAATCGACGTGGGGTGAGACAAGGTTCATTTTGACTCGTAGTTTCAGAGGTTTCATTCCATGGCCACTTGGGGGTTGTATTGAACTGAGCTGAGCAGAGTTCAGTGGAGAAAGCAGTACTTTTTTTGTTTTTGTTTTTGTTTTTTTTTTTTTGAGACAGGGTTTCTCTGTGTAGTTTTGGTGCCTGTCCTGGAACTCGCTCTGTAGACCAGGCTGGCCTTGAACTCACAGAGATCCACCTGGCTCTGCCTCCTGAGTGCTGGGATTAAAGGTGTGTGCCACCACCGCCTGGCAGCAGTACTCTTAAGAAGGATAGCATGTGTCCTGGTATTCTCTTTGGGGTTGCCCCTCAGGAACATGGAAACTTCCTTCCACTAAGCCCTGCCTACTAAAGGTTCACTAGTTTTAACTGATACGGAGCTTTCAACCCTGAGGAGATGTTCACCATCCAAAGTCTAACCCTCCCCAGTCTCAGTGGCTCTCAGCATCATTCGCTGTGCTCCAGACAGGCTGGGCATCTTCCTCATTTTAAAAAACAGGGATTCCACATCTGCTTCACTCTTGCTTGCCATGGTTTCTACCTGATCTTTCCGTGCTGCCTGGTCATTGCCTCCCGTTTGGGTATCTGACCTAAAGTTCTCCTGTGTCCTGGTCCCACCCATGTCATGCTGTTTCGTGGCCTCCACCGTGCTCTCAGACCTTTCCCTTAAATTGTCACACTGTTTACTTCCTGTGGTCGGTCACCTCCACCACAGCACAGTGAGAGCTCCACCGGACCAGGAGCTACCTTGTTCTCTGCATCCCCACGTCTGAATCATGGCTAGCAAGTATTAAGTAAGCCCTGGAAAATATTTCTGGAATTAGCTAACCAACTAGCTGCACATTATATTATGGAAATGGGGTACAGTCACCAAGGCTGGTCTTCAGGAAAGAGTCTATCCACATGAGTCCAAAGTGTGCTGTTAAAAGACTTGAGTCCTTTCGTTTCCTGAGGACTTCCTCAGTGTGGCCTCAGTTTACGCTATCATTCCCAAGGCATGGCTGATCTATTCTCCGTGCTTTAGAAACCTAACAATGACGTTAAGTGACTTAAAGTCACACAGTAAATCTGCACGGAAATCATGATTTAAGACAACAGCACAAGGAATTCTATTTGCAAAAGGACTTACTCATTTCTTTAAACAGTCTCCTCCCCAGCTTGGAAAAGTGATCTCCATCCACAGTAGATGGTGCAGGTATTTCAAAGCTGAAAACCAGATAGGGGGGAGGAATGGGGGGAGGGGAAAGGCAGTGTTGGAGGACATCCCGAGGGTCGCCAGGCTGCAGGGAATATGCCCACTGCATGCCAGTATGCAGTGAGCCCTGAAGGTGGAATTGCAGCAGGTTGTGAGCTACCCAGAGCTGGTGCTAGAACACATACTCTAGTCCTCTGAAGAGCAGTAGGTGCTCTTAACCACCGAACCATCTTTCCAGCCCTAATATTATATATTTTATGTTAAAATGAAATGTCTCATAACTTCAGATAGAAAACTAAAGTCTCTCATTCCTCGGCCTGAGCCCACCCTCTATCCACCAGGAGACCCCGTCTCAGGACTCACAGCATTCATGTCCTGCAGTTGCAGCCTCTGAGCCCATCCCCTCAGACTTCGGCATCCTGGCCAGGCTCCTCCAGGGCCCGGTGGCTGTGCCCCTCAGGTCAGCCTTCAGCCCCCTGGCCGCCTGGAGCATCATTGCCCTTGCTCGGTGGCTCTCGGGGTTCATGACCACCTGCGCTATGAAGACCTCACCAGGTGTGGGGCTGGCCTGCAAATGCACCCCGCGGGAGCACAGAGTCGAGCTTGCTCTCCTGGGGCGAGTGGCTAGGAACAGGCCTTGGTTCTCCAGCCCTGCCCTGGCTTGGACTGGAGTCTGCCTTTAGGTGTGGCATGCCAGGTACTAGGGTTTAGCTCCACACAAAAGGAAACTTTTCTAGAAATCTACAAGCCCTCAGAAATTCCTAGTTTATGCTCCATCCATCAGTTCTTTGTATGATTTAAAAATGTCTGGGTTTGATTTATAGTCAATATTCACTACTGGAAATTCAATATTAAGTACTTCTTAACTGAGATTCCAGAATTTCTTACTGAAAAAAAAAAAGACTCCATTTTTCATTTGATGATCATGGAATCATTCACTTTCCTGGCTGACTCTGTTCAAAACTAAAATAATACAGAAATAAGTCCAATAAATCCCAACTCACCAAATAAACTTCAAATAAAAGGGGTAATAGGACTTTAGTTTTCTATCTGAAGTTATGAGACATTTCATTTTAATATAAAATATATAATATTAGGGCTGGAAAGATGGTTCGGTGGTTAAGAGCACCTACTGCTCTTCAGAGGACTAGAGTTTGGGTTCTAGCACCAGCTCTGGGTAGCTCACAACCTGCTGCAATTCCAGCTTCCGGGCATCCAAAGCCCTCTTCCGGCCTCAATGGCACACCTTGCATGTACACGTGCATACACATATAAATGTTAACAAAAAAAATTTAAAATTATGTGTCAATGTGCATTTTAAGCTCGCTTTCCTCTCTAATTACTGGGCACCACATTTTAAGTATTTGTTTTTTATTTGTTTTAAGTATCAGTGTTTCTCAATTTATCAGGAAAAAAACAAACATGGCAAAATGTCCCTATTCAGAGCACCATCCAGAACTCCTTTTTAAAAAGTAAATGGGCCTAGTATTCATAGTAGAGTATTATGGTTAAAAGAATAGCAAGTACACTACAGTGAATGCTAATAGAAATTTAAGGCAGGACTAACATGAAAAGTATAATATGTAAGTGAATAGCAGCATTCAGAATATGTACCTGTTTACAAATAAAATTCCAAAAACCAGATGAAAATGCACAGTAAAACAGTGACAGAATGTTAACAGTGGAAATCAGACCAACTACACAGAGTTCTGAATCACGTTTTCCTAATAAATGATGGCACACAAATCGCTTTCACACTCCAAACCAGGCTCTCTCATTCTGTTAACTCTCTCAGCAAGAAAAAAAAAAAAAAAGCAGCTGAGCGGCCTTTAATCCCAGCCCCAGGAGGCAGAGGCAGGTGGATCTCTGCGAGTTCTAGGCCAGCCTAGTCCTAGAGTGAGTTCCAGGACAGCCAGGGCTACACACACACACACACACACACACACACACACACACACACACACACAGAAAAAGAAAAGAAAAAAACCTATCTTGAAAAACAAATAAACAAAAAACACCGTGATTTTATGCTCTGCACCCTTCTAGAAATGTAGTGAGGCTAGCCCTCCTTCTAGCACATGACAAAAGATCCCAAGCAGCACATGGTGGCAACTTTACTTCTTGATTCTCCTGAGAGCTTGGACAAGAGGGAAGTTTTGGAGCATGGTGTGATGTTTTCTTTTTCAAAGAGCAAATGAATTATCTCAGTGTGCTAATGTGTGGGCTACTGTAGTTGGTTTTTGTTTTTACTTTTTGGGCTCTTTTTGGGGGCCTGCCACCCAGCTCCCAAATAAATCACAGGTAGTCTTATTCTTACTTTAAATGTCTGGCCTTAGCTTGGCTTGTTTCTAGCCAGCTTTTCTTAAATTATCCTGTCAATCTTTTGCCTTTGGTCTTTTATCTTTCTCTATTCTGTATACCTTTCTTTACTTCTTACTCCGTGGCTGGTTGTGTAGTGAGGTGGCTAGCCCCTGGAGTCCTCCTCTCCTCCTTTCTTTGTTTCCTCTATCCTCTCTTCCCAGACTTCTCCTTCTATTTATTCTCTCTGCCTGGCAGCCCCACCTATCCTTTCTCCTGCCTAGCTACTGGCCATTCAGCTCCTTACTAGACTAATCAGGTGTTTTAGGCAGGCAAAGAAACACAGCTTTACAGAGTTAAACAAATGGAAAACATCTTTGCATCACTAAATATTCCGAAGCATAAACAAATGGAACACATCTTCAACTAATAGTCCACAACAGGGGAACCTGCCAGGGGAACTCTTCCCATTCTTGTTGCTCTGGTATCTTCTGCTGCAGGGTATTCTATTTACAATTCTCTCTCTCCAGAACCCTCTCTCCCCATCCCCATTTTCAATGATTTCATCTTTCATAATTAAAGCTCAGGCTGTCGCTTCCTCAAGGAATCTACTCTGATCACTCTATCCTAAAATCTTATGAACACGCTCTTCCACTCTCTCATTTCCTGTTGCTGTTCTTTCCTCTATGGTAGTTGTTGGATATAACAGGTATTGTTTAGTGTGTGTCTAACATTAAACATCACAAAGACAGGAGGTTTCTGCTCCTGCTATATCTCCAATGCCTTACCGCAGTACCAGGCTTGAGACCAATTTGTCAAATAAATATGGAACATAGTTCAGCCAGGGAACAGTTGCCAGTGTTCAGTCCTAAAATTGTTCATTTCTCTCCCAACAGAAGGTTGGCCAGGCAGGCGCCATGTGGCTAAGAACAGCTATGAATGAATGTGTCCTAGCCCAAAGCCACAAACATACTTAAAATGTTTCGAAATTTGAAACAATTTTGATTGTTTTTTTTCCCATTTTCAAGCATGTGGTGTGTATTCATGTGCATATACAAGTTTTTCACATATGTTACGTGCATGTGGAGGCTGAAGTTGATGCTGGGAATTATCCCAGATTGCTTTCCCACCATATTCACTGAGGCAGGTCTCTCAAACCCTGGACTCACAGGATATGGCTAGACTCGCTAGTCAGTTTGCTCAAGGGGAGCTCCTGGGCCCGACTTCTGAGGCTGGGATTATAGGCAGGCTACCAGTCCTATCTGACATTGGCGTGCATTCTGAGGACCAAAGTCCGCGCCTCACAATTTCCTTGCACTTTCCTTGCAAACACTTTATCCACTAGCACATCTTTGCAGCCTTGATGGCATAATTCTTAAGTGTGCACTTTGAAGCTAACATCGTGTTTCGATCTCAAAAGGTCTGGACATGCCTGGGTATGTTCAATTTGCAGTAAATTTAAGTCCAGGCCTTTAAGGATTCTTTACGTTAAGAAAGAAGAGGAGGAGGCAGAAGAGGAGGAGGAGGAAGGAAAAAGAAGGAGTTGGAGGAGGAGGAGGAGAAAGAAGAGGAAGAAGGAGGAGAACAGGAAGAGGAAGATGAAGGAGGAGGAAGAGAAGGAGGAGAAGGAGAAGGAGGAGGAGGAGAGAAAAAGAAGGAGGAGAAGAAGGAGGAGAAGAGGCAGCAGCAGCAGCAGCATTTATTGATTCCTTTATTCTCTGGTCAGATGCTGTCTCTCTAGAGTCCCGATTCCCATATTTAACTATTAAGACCCCTTCCCTCACAGTCACCTGAGGCTGATTCTTCAGTCCTGTGAACAAAAATGTCTTAAGAAAGTCTGGAAGCATGTAGGCCAGGGCTGCCATGCTAACTCTGGTCTCAAAGTTCTCCCGAGCCAGCCCCTCCAGCCTGTTACTCTGCTGTTCCCAGGTGTACCCGCAGCTCAGGTGTAACAGAGCTGTGTCTGCTTCCAGGAAGTGGGGCAGAGGGGAGAAACAGGAAGCCAGAGAGGATGCGAGAACTTCCAAAAGAGGAAAGTTCTAGCTCATTGCACAATGCTTCCTCACACAGCCCACTGGCTAACCTTCAATCATACATCTATACCTTGCTACGAGGGTGTGTGTTGCAAGAGTAAGGATGGGAGATGCTCTGCTGGACTCAATGGGTTCCTCTTGAGGTGCTGTGCATTTGCTTCTGCTCACTAACCAATGACCATTAACACCATGCCAGGCCATCACAGTTGGCATTCAGAGATACATGAGAAATAGCACCACATTTCTACCAGCCTACGATCACAGAGCAGTGACTGGTTAGCAGTCACTGTAGAGATGAAGAGTTGTCCTTCTGGTTTGTACTCTGCTGCTGTGTGTCCAGAATATGACCCTCCCAACCACGTGGAAACACTTTTCAATAGGCCCACAGGCCCCTTCAGGAAAGGATGCCTTTCCTTCCGGGACTGGTCCTTGTTTGGTGTTTTCCTTTCTCCATGAAGATCCTGAAGTACTTATTATTTGCTGTGGTTTTCTGGGTGGCCAGTATAAGGAGTGCATGATTGACATAGCTCCAAGGCAGGTGCCTTATGTTTGTTATGAGGAGCTTTTACATTTCCAGGAATTTTGACTGGTTAATGTTACACAGTTTGTGCTAAGGTGGGAATACTTGCAACACAGGTTTCATACACAGAAAGTCACTAACTCCTCCTTCACCATTCCTCTCAAACTTGGAACATTAATAGCTTTGGGGGTAAAAAAAAGCAACTCAACATGATATTTTGAAAACACTTTATGATCAGTCTTTGAAGAGGCATTCAAATTGACAGGGGAAGCTGAGGAAGCAGTTGGAATGTCAGCATGTAGGCAACTACTAAAGCTTCATAGAAGGAAAGAAATGGATCTTCCCAAAATGCTCTATAAGGGCAAATGGAATTCGATAACACATTTGGGGTTGACAGAAGTCGAGGCAGAAATAAGGGGGGTGAGCTCACACAGAACGATGATGAATAACAACATTTAAAATGGGAAGAGTAGAAGGGTCAACTGGTATCTTTCTCTTGCCCTTTACCTCCTGTGTTCTCACACTGGGTATTGCATACATTCTCTTAGCGTGAAGTTCCTTCTTTAACTCAACAACACGACTCCTACCATGTCAGTGTGGAAACTTCTGTCTCTTCAAGATTGCTTTCAGTAGGCTCCTGGACCTTACCATTCCATGCTGAGGTTGAATCTAAAGCGCTTCTGAGAGAATGGTCTGTATTTACAAATAACTGCTCATAATGCTGCTTTTCTATTGTCACAGAGGACTGAAGTAAGATGTCTAGCCATAAATTATTGGAACAATAGGACAGAGTAAGAGAGACATCTTTGTCTTTCATTGAAGAGCTGGTTGGACTGACATGAAATCACTAGGCCTGTTTATGCTACTTGTAGTGCATACTAATAATGATATGCCACAAACAGGTCAGACTCCTTATCTGAGACTCCCTCAACATGTTAAGAATTTGAGATTTTTTTTTCTGCATTAAAAAAATGGCAGGAAATGAAATGTCACCCTAAGATCCATATCTTTTTATTCTTTATTCGAACACAGTTCTGACTGACATTTATTTTGCAAGCAAACTGTGAGGGTTAACCTGACAGGTGCAGGTTGCTCAACTCCCACATTTTGCAAAGAAAGACCCCTCTCTTTAGAACCAGCCTCGGAGCCCTTGGCCTTTACCAGCCTGATAAGGGTAATGCTGTTACCCTGAAGAGTGCTTCATGTCCACAGCTTTGGGCCACATTGTATTTGTTTGAAGAGATAGCTTATATTGCCAACCTGCTTATGCTGAATGCATGCTTTCTGAAGACTGAGACCTTGGACCAGTAAACTCCCCGGAAGGTGTAAAGCTAAGGTCAGTTGGGATGACAGAAATGCCTGTCCAGACTTCCAGAAAAAATTCTGGGTGGCAAGGGTTGGGCAAGGAGTCTTGGTTGGTGCTATTTTGCATGTACTGCCATATAGAGCTTGTGGGAGAATGGTGTATACTTCGTATGCCTCCTCTGGGAGCATGAGGCTTTGCTGATCCCACCCCCCATACTATGCGGTGTATCAAACTGAGGGTCTTGCATATACAGAAAAGCATGCTACTTCTGAGCCACATCTAGCCTCATTGCTTATTTTGATTTATATCTTTTTCCTCTTACAAACTGTAATCTTGGACTCTTCAGTTTTTCTCAGTTCTGTTAGTCTTTCTTGCAAATAATCAGACTTGAGGGGAGCCTAGGGACTCTCAGCACAGTTAGGTTGTGATAAAATTTAATTTTTCTCTATGTGTTATTAACCATAGAAGAACCATTTCTTTAACAGCCAACACTTTTCACACTACATTATTGAAAACACCCCTCCCATTACAAACGCTGGTAATACTTTATTAATTGCTACATAAAATTTAGTATCTACTTAGCTTTCTTTTCTTGAGACAGGGTCTCACTATGCAAACGAGGCTGGCCTCGAACTTGAGATCTTCTTGACTCTGCCTCCTGAATGCTGGCATTAAAGGTGTGTGCCACTGTGCCTCTTTTTATTTTGCCTCTATCTACCAATTTCTAAGGGGTTTTGAACATTATTATACTTAATGGTATAACTGGTGGAGGGGGGTTAGTTTTAAATAGTCATTCTTCTTATTCATGAATAAGATTATCTATTTATTCATCTTCCAATTCTCTAGTTTCCAAATCCTTAAACATTTTCCCTCCTGAGGTGCCTCACAGATCCCCATGGCAAACAAGATTATTTTTATTCTATCTTCCAATTGGTCACTGCTGATTTATAGACATGGTATTGATTTTACAGACATGACATTTTTGAACTCTGAAAAAAATGTAGATTTATTTAAAATGCAGGCAAGTGAGCTAAAAATATACTTTCTCTTAAAAAAGTACTGTAGGCAAACACGCTGACCATATGAAGTTTCATTTTTACTTCTTTCTACTTTTTACTCATTTCATCTGTTAAACTGACTAAAACCCAACTTGTCTGCCAAAGTGATTATTCTCGAAGTGAGGGTTCAAATCATTTCTAAACTTAGCAACATTGAATTGTTTCTTCTTGCTAACACAGTAGGGATGTAATACCTCTTTGTAGTTTAATGTTTCCTGTCCAGATGACTAGTATGGTTACGACTGTTTTCTTTCATATGAATTGCCATTTAAAGTCTTTTGTATCACTTTATATTGACTATTGTTCTTCCTGAGTCTCGATTAGGAATCAATTTAATACTCCAGATACTAGCTCCCCCCATACCAATACTAGGTACATGTGTTGCAAACATGTTCTTCCATGACTTGACTTTCTAAGGTTATGGGTCCTCATTTATTATGCCTCCTAAGTTTCATGATGCTTTCTAAAAATGCTTCAAAAACTTAAAAAATGTGCTGGATATACAAGAGACAAAACAGATAATGAAGGACCTGGGAGAAGTCCAGACAGAGAAAACAGATGACATTATTACAGAGGAAGATCAGGCAAGTAGAGCAATCTGGGCAGGGAGCAAGCAGACGGCAAGTCAACAATGGTGTTCCTCTACGGTGCCGCCTGGCTTCCTGCTGGTCTTTCCTTGAAGATAAACTGTGACCCGGAAGTGCAGAGGTGCCAGTCTATGGGCAACCAGGTGGCAGATGGCCTGTGGAAGAGGATGGTCTGAATGGTGAAACTAATTCAAGGTATGATTCAAAGTTGGGAAGACACACAAAGAATGTGAAAGATATGGAACTTGCATGGGGCTGGAGAGGCCAAGACAAAACTTCCTGGCCTACGAGTCTTCTGGTGAGAAAGCAGCCATTTCTCTAAGAGGCCCTGGTTTCTCCTGCTGAGAAGGGAACATACCACCCTGACTATGCACCTACACCACTGCTCCTGTACCTAAGGCTCAGGGAACACTGTGGAAGATGGGGTGGTAAGCCTGTAAGAGCCAGAGGGCCAGAATGTCTGCTGACAATGTCTTCTATATATGACAAGGAAGCTATACCCACAAAACCTCAACAATATAGACAATTAAACAAGACCCACACAATGAAGGTACTAGTTAAACATACCAGTGCAGATGGGGGAGGTCTCACAAGGTTCCACTCCTAGATGAAGAGCTACAAGTAATTAATGGATGCTGAGAGAGAGAGAATCAGTCTTCTCCAGGGACAATCCCTGGTAAGTTATTCAGTCCCAAGTAGTCAGTCCTAGACACATATACATATGAGCTATACTAAATGGACTCATCACGTTATATACATGTAACAATGTGTGCACATGCACACACACACATACACACACACACACACACACACACACACACACACACATCCCTATATGTGACAATAATAATTTAAAAAGAGGTCATGAATTTGAGAAGGATTGAGGGGGACATGGGAGAAGTTAGAAGAGAAAGAATAAGAGAAGAAAATGATGTGAATACATTATACATGTAAGAAATTCTCAAAAAAGGTTTTAAAATTTTATTTTAAATTATTAAGTATTATATATGATGGCTTTCAATTAAATGGAGCATCTATATGAAAATAATTTATTATTTAATGTGGAAAACAGTAAAAATAAACTTCAGATGGGAGAAAACAATAAATACAGTAATCTCTATTTTTCAATACATTAAATCAGTTTCACTGAATTTAATTTTATAAATAATTAACACCACAGCTCTGGAACTGTCACAGTGTACAATATCAGGTAAGGGACTGGTACATCAGCAAGCTTGCAGCCCATCTTTAAATCTGCTAGTAATTAAAAGTCAGGTTACGACTGCGGCTAGGGCTTTGTAAAGTCTCAAGAAAAAGCTACCCCTCAAACATTTCTCTGTCTACTCTAAATGCACTAATATATTCAAAGACCAAACTATATATAAAAAAAAGATTCAGTTCTTTTTTTTTTCTTTTTGGGTTTTTCTAGACAGGGTTTCCCTGTGTAGCCCTGGCTGCCCCAGAACTTGCTCTGTAGACCAGGCTGGCCTTGAACTCAAGAGATTCACCTGCCTCTGCCTCCCAAGTGCTGGGATTAAAGGCGCGCGCCACCACCACCCAGCAAGATTAAGTTCTTAAAGCAGTAGCAAAAAAGGCTTTTTGATAAGAACTTGTGGGTGGCACCATGCTTGAAGCAATTCCTTAATTGTTGCAAATCTTCCTTCTTTCACAAATATTAACGAAGATGTGACAGGCATGTACCTGAGGTCAGTGCATTTATCTTCTGAGCTGCACATTTTCTCTGAAAGAGTAGAAGGAAAATCAGTGACTACATAACTTATCTTGTTTACCACAAATTTGTAGAAAGTCAAACATAATTACCAAAAAATGAAATACTGCCATTTAAAGTACTGAGTTAAAAAAACAATTTTGAATTATAGACTAAATATTTCTTTATGTGAGCCAAGTGCTTATTTATAAGATAAAGGAATTGTGAGTAAGGAAAAACAATTAACAATAGTTTGAACAAGTCCTTCAAACACAGGTAATACTGTGCATTACTTTCCTGAAGGTAACACGTGCCCCTGTGCTATTTCTATTAAACTACCCTTCCTAGATCTCATGGTTAAATTTAACTACAAACATTCACAGAACACTTACAGACACAAGAGCAAGGACAGCAGCAGCCAATGGCAACACGGTGGCCAAACACTAAGATGTTCATGCTGAAACTAACACACATGACTCAGAGTCCTTAGAAGTATTCCATATTCAGTATAAAACAACACATCATCTTCTGACCTCCCCTTTCGCTTCTGTTTTCTCTAACATGACTGATTTCCAACTGATATATACACTGGAAATGAAATTCTTAAGGTTATTAAAGGAAATACAAAGAAATAAGTTAATATATAATCTGCATTCTTAAAAAAGGTCTTATGGGGAGGTATTATTGCATTTGTCGTCCCTAAATGAATAAATTTTAAATGAGGAAGAATAAATGCAATGATTATAAAACTAAAATTTCAATAAAAAAATGTTGATAAAATGGTCAAAGTTCATTTAAAAAATATATCCAGGGTGTGTCTGGGACTTGGAGGTCTTGTTTTCTTTGACGTGGAGAACTTTGTCTTCAGTCCCGGCCTGGAACGAGAGAGAAGACACAATTTCTATGGAGAAGGAAATACTTGAAAATAATTTTGCAAAAACAGTTCTTAAATTGTTACTTGGTTAGTTATAAAAGCAAAGTTGAGCCCCTAAAACTCAAGAGTAAAACATGAGCTTGTGACTCTCGTTACTGAAGTTCAAGTCAGCCATACCTTTTTGTCCTTCTTGCAGCCTTCTGAAGTCTGTCTGCTGGGCAAAGAAAAGCCAAGAAATTCCATGAGGAAAAGGATAAGATAACTGAAAAGCTTCACAAAAATTAAAGAGATAAAACTGACAGATTGATGATAATATTATGCATATCCCAAACTAATTTTTAAGAATCTTGTATTACATTAATTAAATTAGTACTTCCATGTATGGAAGTGAATGGACAACTTTTGGAAGTCAGCTCTTCCCTTCCATCATGTGGTCCAGAGAGCAAGCCCAGGTCAGAAAGCTTGTTATCGAGCACTGATACCCTTGAGCTGTACTGCCGGCCTCACAGGTTAATCTGGTAGTATCACAGGTTAATCTGGTAGTATCGTTTCCTTACAATTCACTAGTTCTACTGGCATTAACCTTGATTTCTGCAATCGTGCTACAGTCAATACTTCAAAGAGACAAGTGAAAGGGCTTCGTGGCTTGAGAAACAGCTAGTGTGTCACTGTGCACTAGCAGACGTCCCCTGCGGGAATTTCTGTTTTGTTTAGATCACTCAGATCTTTCAACTTTTAGCTTCATTCTACACTAATTCAAAACTAAACTGGAATTTTCCCTAAATTCAAAAGCTCGGTTTGAGTTATTTCTAGCCATGGTAAGGCAACTAATATTTCCTCAGTGAGAGCAAACACAAGCCACCCTTTTAATAGTATGTATTTCAAATTTAACAGTTTCAGTAATTTTCATAAGACATATCCCTAGAAAATCACATTCCTCTTATTTTTTTAATTTAATTTTATGTGCATTGTTTTTTTGCCTACACGTATGTCTGTGTGTGTGCCTGGTACCTACTGAGGCCAAAAGAGGGCACTGAAACCCCTGGAACTGGAATTGCAGATGGTTGTGAGCCACCATGTGAGTTCTGGGGACCAACCCCAGGGTTCTATGCAAGGCTAGCAAGAACTACTGCACACCCCATTCCTCTTAATAACCGCATGCTTACCAGTATTTCTGGAGCTTTCTTTGGGTTGGCTGACTGAATTAATGTCATTATTTCTCAGTTCTTGGATAATGCCTTTATTTAAGCAAATATCCACATGTACATTGAAGAGGGTAAGATCAGAAGTCTTTTGTTCTTGGTTACAAACAGGACAAACTAGAGCTTGTCCTGTTACTGCCTCATCTGTGCAGGGCTGGATGGATTCTTGCTTACTTAATATTCCGACAGCTTCATCTGCCAATGAAATAGGACGAGACTGGTTTGGAAAATCAGGACATTCCTCTTTGCTGTGATGACTTCCTAAAGTGTCCATACTTGCTGCTTTCAATGAGCTGTCTTCAGTCTCTATGAGATCCACACCGTCTGCTGAAGTGATCTCTCCATCTTCATGATCCTGTTTCTCACATAGTGCATATTCCTTCTGACCAGTGTCTGCCGAGGAAGCACGTGAGAAAGAGGGCATTTCCGAGTTCTCACTGGCTGATGGCCCATCAAGACAAGCATCTACATGTTCATTAAAGGCTTCCAGACTGATGCCTTCTTGATCCCTAAAGCAAACTGGACATGTAAACGTCTGACAGTTATTTGAATTCTCTGATGTTTCCAAACTCTCGCTCATCTTCTTTAAAGCTTGGCATGGTTGTGAGGGCTGTAAAGCTTGCTGATCCACAATTTCACATCTGAGTGAGTCTTGATGGTTCGAGATCCTTTCTGATCGCTTTTTATCAAAGAAACTCTTCTTAGGAGACATTTCTAAAGGCTTTACAAACTCCGTTTTGTCTAGACTACACCCAGGAGATGACAGAGCTTGCTGTCCAGCCTGTAAGAAGCCAATGATGCTCCTCTGTTGGTGCTTCTTGTCATCTTCGTTGGAAAAAGTGGACATCCGAACACCTAAGTGAAATCAAAACCAATCACTTTCGAATTGTATGAAGACATTCACCCCCAATACAAATGGAACAAAACATTTAACGTAATACTATTATGACACAAACACAAAAGGTAAGCAGAGAGAAACAAGTACCTCTGGAGATGGACCCACACATAGGCATACATATTTTTAAAGGCTAAGGTTTGGACATATATGTATGTCTTTGTATGTTAGGCATATAATTTATCACTTAGCCACATTCCCAGACCAGTATTTTCCAAATTAAAGGACACTTTTTCAAAGCTGGTATTATGAAGAACTTACTTTGCTTTATAAAATTGGGTAAAATCAGTAAATGTTAAAAATCTATTGGAGTTACCGTGATTATATAGAACTTTCAATAATGTTTCACACATGGTGCCGTTAAATAAAGAGTAATTAATTGAAGTCAACTATAGAGACTCTTCAGCTCTGATTTTTTCAATAGACTTCACTTCTTAAGGCGTGTTTCATTTTTACAACCATTGAACAGAGAATTCCTGTGTGCCCTCTGCTGTCACTCACCCACAACTTCTGGAACCATACACATGCACTGACACAGCACTGTCACCCCAAGTCTATAGTTCACCTGAGGATTTACTCTCAGTAGTGTTCATGCTGAGTTTAGACGTAGCTATAAAGCCATGAATTCACCATTATAGAACCACACACAGTTGTTTCACTAGCCTAAAATTCCTCTGCTTTCTCTATTCATCTTTCCCCTTGGGCAATATTGTCTTTTTCCTGTCTCCAAGGTTTTGCCTTTCTCAAGATGCTATATAGCTGGAGTCTGACTTCTTTCACTTAGCAATATTTACTTAAATTTCCTTCTTGTGCTTTTGTAGCTCATTTACACACTGAACACTATCCCACTGTCTGGACATACACAGTTTATCAATCCACTAAAGTATACCTAGCTAGTTTCTAAGTTTTGCAATTATGAATGAAGTTGCTACAGATACTTGCTCTTTGGCTCTTTTTATTTTATTTTATTTTTATTATTATTATTATTGTTTTTTCGAGACAGGGTTTTTTGTATAGCATTGGCTGTCCTGGAAACTCGCTCTGTAGACCAGGCTGGCCTGGAACTCACAGAGATCTGCCCACCTCTGCCTCCCGAGTGCTGGCATTAAAGGTGTGTGCCACCATTGCCTGGCTATTTGGTTCTTTGTAACAGACTTCATCAGTGGTTTCATTGTACACTATCTCTCAAGTGTGAAAGTAAGATTAATGATCCACTCTTAGCAACTTGATAGTTTACTTGGAAGCTGGCTTTCTAGTTTGTTTGTTTCCAACAGGTAGTGACTGGCAGTGTCATAATCTTGATCTATAATTCTGAAATCCAAAACTTCTGAAATTGTAGCATAAAGTGATAAACAAAGCCTAAATTGGCATGATGTTATCTTACATGATGTCCATACAATCTAAACAATAAGTTCATTGTTGTTGTTTAGTGACAGAAATATTCACGTGTTTCATCATGTCATGATATACTAGATCCCCAACACAGCATTACAGAATATAATTTAAATGCCCTGGATTTGTTTTTCAATTCTGTTAATTTTTGAATTTGGAAACACCTTGTCTCAAGGACTTTAGAAAAAAGGATGAGAACAACTTCCATTGGTCCAGACAGAATTAAAGTCACCTTCTATCCATGCATCCAGTTCTAGGGATTACAATGTACAGCAGCAGAGTAAGAAGTTCTTAAATAGGTTTAAGAAATAAATATGGGAGGAAAAAGATCTCCCAAGTTGACCTTTTTTTTTTTTTTTTTTTTTGGTTTTTCGAGACAGGGTTTCTCTGTGTAGCTTTGCGCCTTTTCCTGGAACTCACTTGGTAGCCCAGGCTGGCCCCGAACTCACAGAGATCCGCCTGGCTCTGCCTTCCGAGTGCTGGGATTAAAGGCGTGCGCCACCACCGCCCAGCCCTTTTTTTTTAAGGGAGGAGCATTAAAGGGAAAAACAAGAAAGAGAGAGGCCTACCCATCAACCTTAACCTCAGGGGATGTGGAGAACCCGCGTTAACTTCTGTCCTTAGCAGTTCCTTAGCAACGGCATATATTTCTTCTGCAGTAGAAAGAGCAGACAGAACTGTAGATGCACGAGTTTTTACTTCAAAATTCACGTTCTTCAGCTTAATGGTAACAGTTCTCCCCTACAACACATGCAGCACATTACTGTGGAAGGTTCCAGAACTTGTAGAAAAAAGTTGATTACAGGTTAGAAAAGTTTAGGAAGGCTGCCTATACATATGAATATACCAAGTGTAATCAGCTGTTTATAAAACATGGTCATGTAAACTGTCATAATTAAGATCAATGTCTGATAATTCCCTGCTGGGTTCCAGCCTCCTGAATGCTTAAGGGAAGTCCCTAGTTTGTGTATCCTGCATAATGGGCATTAACAGCTTAGATGCAAGATTGTAAAACATTGGTAGCGAACTTCTGCCCTCCAGGGTTCTCCCATTGTGCTGTAAGCCTGTATTTAAGACCTCCTCCCTCCTTCAATAAAGAATGACCACACCCACACACACACACACACACACACACACACACACACACACACACAAAGTTAATAATAATGAAAAAAAAAAGATCAGTGTCTGAAAAATAATCACTTAGTAAATAATTACTAGTCCCTTCCTCAACTAATTAAAAGATGCTTTTATATGAAGAGCAAAGTTAACTAATCACCTTTACATTTATTGTACATCTCCCTAGGTTAATTCAGTATTGAAAGCCAAGGGGAATGAATAACTCAACACTTACTGCATGACTACCACATGCCAGAGTGCTATGCTGGAAGTCTTTAAGAATCCTCTTTACAGCTAGTGTCTTAAGGACATGAGGTGTCAGTTGGAGAGGCCTGATGACAGTTTAGTATTTCCTGGAGGGTTAAAGTAATGGGCAGCTGCCCCACTTGAGGCAAGTTCAGGTTTCTGACTCATTTCCTGACTCTTTCAGAGCCAGTAACTTTAGCTAGAGAAGCCTATCAAACATTCCCTAACCCAGGCAATGACTGAGACAGGAAATGATGAGGCCACTTCACCTTAGTGGTATTCTTCTCAACACCTATAACCCACAACACAGGACAAGCAAGACAGTGGCATTTGGTAGGGTATATGGCCAGTGGCTCTCAAGACTGGATTTTATAAAGACGAGGGAAAGGCTAACAAACTCACAACCGAACTAAGGAGACAGGACGCTAGTTACCACACCGTTCCCTGGAGCGGGGTTAGTTAAAGACAAGAGTAATCCAGATGCAGTCTGCAGCTGGGTTAACAGCAAGTGCTAAAGTCACTCTTCCAGTGTGACAACAATCTATAAGATGTTAACAATTGAGGCAAATAAGTGAGAGGTATAATGGAAATCACTATGTTCTTTTGGAAATAGTCTTAGAAATCTGAAATGATTCTAAAATTAAAAGTGTATTTAAAAACTTCTCAAAAAGAACTATTTTATGCTTAAGCGAGAGAAGAGCTAGAAGTAAAAATGCTCCTCAAATACTCCATTTTTCTGCAATGCCTTTCCAACACTTATGTATTACACTCTTTACAAGCCAAGCCTGGTTTGAGAAGATTGAGAAAACACTAAACGTGGACTGCTCTGAAGGAAGACTACACAGCTAATAGTTCATTCCAGACTTCTGTTCTCAATGTGTGAACCAGGATTAGAGTCCTGAAACACAGTGCCTGTTCCAGAAGGTCACTGTCACGGTGAGCAAAGTCACCAAGGGTGATTGGGAAAGGATTTATGATAGGAGGAGACAGTTGTAGAACCACCCTTCCCTTTACCGTTCAGGTCTGATCTGAGTGTTGAGGGCACAAAGCTGCCCTTATCACCCTGGAACCACTCCAGTGTCACATACGGGACACATAGGTGTCCTTCATACCATGTTTCCATCACAGACCTCACACAGGTCAGGCTCGACGTTGTTTCTGATTGCTGAGGATAGGAATATTCTATTTTATTTGTATCCCGCGTTAATAAATATGTGGTCTCTTGACCTAGAGTAGTATCCTAGAATGAAAAAAGCTAAGAACCAGAATCATCCCGTAAAAATCCAGTACCTTCAGTCCTTCCTTCTGGAGATCACGAGCAAGTTCAGTGCACAGCTCTCGGCATAAGCTGAACTGTTCTTCTGTGTGACTTATTTCACTAAACGTCCTAGAGAGACAAGAAGGATTTTGGTGCACAATGTAAACTATAGCTGAATTATTTGATAATAATAGAGTACATTCAAATAGCCTAGCATTGTATTTTCTTCAGTACAAATTAAAGTTTTCACATCAACTAACGCATAATTAAGTAAAAATACCTATATTCTACATAAATGATCAAAAGCATTTAGATAGGTACACTGATCAACAAACCCCACAATTTTATGCTTTCTCCTTTTTTAGATATGATCTCACTTTGTAGCCCTGGAGTGAGTCTAGCACTCACTCTGTAGACCAGGCTGGCCTTGAACTCATAGAGGTCAGCCTCCCTAGAGCTAGGGTTAAAGGCGTGTGTACCATGCTCAGTTCTTCATTCATTTTTCAACTGACATATTGGTGCTTTCTCATTATGAGTTCTTTACATATCAGAGAAGCTAGCACTTATATGTGATTATGAACTGGGACCTTCCTCCCCTAGTCCCATACTAAATTTGATATCTTAATGCATTTTTTTTAAAACCCACAGTGAGTTTTCAAAAAGAAAGGAACCAGTCAGTGATTCTTAAATGTCTCAATAGTTTTGATGTTTTGAAGAACTAATTGAGAGACTTTTAAAATGGACACATTTTCCCCTAAACAAAGTTCCATTAAGATTTCATGTGACTCAAAAAAAGATTCTAAGCCCCACAAATCTAGGCAATCTCTAAGCTTTCCTTTACCAATATTACTTCACACTCGATTCTTTATCTGAAACACTTAACTCAAGAAGGAAGATTTGGATTTGGGTTGCTTTTTTAAAATAATTTTATTTTATAATATGTTTGCATATGGTGAGATGTCCTCAGATGGAACCCAGGTTTAAGAACAAAATTTGTTAGTTTCGTATACACCTTATATACAGAGCCTGAAGGTACTTGTACACAGTGTTCTAACAATCTCTGTTTTGACTGCAACCCACCACATAAAATGAGGGGCCAAGTTTTTCATGTGTGATAGCATCCTGATAGCATCAGGAAGTCTTGGATTTGGACCATTTCAGAATTCAGAAATTCATATCAATATGGAGATGCTCAACATGTAACTGAAACCTCTGCTCATTTGGCCAATATCGGAAGTTCTTAGAACTCCCACTGTAATATTTTATGATTCTCAGGTAAACATTTAATTGTTCTTATAAAGAAGATTAGAAATCCTAAAATGCCCAGTTTTCACCAAACAGGAGTAACATCTGTATTAAAAAACAGAAATGTCAACCATGTTGTTCTACTGTGAGTAGAGTAACCAAAGGTACTGCACCGAGCTTACTGAGGTGAGGTGTTTACTTCAGGAGTATAAGCTGCCCAAACTGTGAAGCTTTTTTATTGTAGTGATGCTTTACACTACATGAACTTGAGACAGTTTAACACACACTGAATCATAGGTCATTAACTTTATTTTTATTTAACATAAAAGGACAAATATTACCTTTCAACACTCATACTTTTCCTTTCTCCATCCCTGAAATGAGGAAAAAAAAAGGTCTTTATTTCTTTCTCAAAAAGACCTTTTGGTCAATAAGAGAATTTAATGTATTCCTTTTAATTAATTAATTTTATGCATGTGGGTGTTTTGCTGGTATGTCTGTCTGTGCACCATGTATGTTCAGTGCTCACAGAGGTCAGAAGAGAGTGCTGTATCCCTGAAAATGGAACCACCATTTGTGAGCCACCACATGGGTGCTAGGAATCAAAACTGGGTCCTCTGGAAGGCAGCCAGTGCTTTTAACTGCTGAGCCACCTCTACAGTCCCCTAACATCCTCTTTAAAAATTTCGTCTAAAAACATTTATATCTTACAAAAATATGAGGCTTTCTTTTAAATCTAAAAATGAAACTTTCACTAAGACATAAATAGATAAGATACTTTGATTTCATGTGTCATGGATCAAATCTATATCTATGGTAGAAAAATATTTGGAAATAGGTATCTAACCTGCTTCTATTAAAAGTCTGGATATTAAACTTATGAAAATAAATAGGAGGCAGGAGCATAACAGTTCCTGGCCACAGGATCCATGCACATGTCACAAAATGCAATGCTGTTTCATTTGGGGGCTGGTACATCAACTTCTCCCCTACATGCCATCCATCATTCATGTCTGTCAGAATTTGGCACAGGAGGCTGAGGATCTACACCATCCACTTTGACTGGAGTCTAGCTACTCTGACGGGGGCAACTGAACTAAAGAAACTGAAGTAACATGCGTTTTATTCATTTTCCAAATACTTAATGGATGTAATATGCCTAAGAACTGCTCGAGAACAGAGAATAATGAATAAAATATACCAAGTGCTTGTGTGGAGCTTACATCCCAGTGGCTGTAAACAAGTATAGAATACACACAGGGCCTGTGAAGGTAGCTCAGTCATACAGAGCTTGTCTCACATGACCAAGGCCTTGGGTTTGAGTCCCAATAATGCAAAGAACAAAAAACCAAAAAACCAACCAAACAAAAAACCCAAAACAAAACCGATCAAGCAAAAGAAAGTAGGCCTGATGACACAATCCTCTAACAATAATCCCAGCTGTCTGGGAAGTTTAGGCAAGAGGACCACAAGTTCAAGGCCAGCCTGGGCTATAAGGTATTCAAATCACCTAGTTAACGTAAGTTAGACCCTGTTTCAAAATAGGAGAAAGACGTTGTTCAGTGGTAAAGCACATACCTAACATGTGTGAGATTCGATCAATTACAAGAACCCTCCACCCAAAAAACTCGACAAACAAACAAAAACAACTAAACAAACAAATAACAACAACAAAGGGCAGTATGTTCAAAAGGGAGAAGTACCCAGACTACAAACCAAAGCAGCACAGGGTAGAGAACACAGGCTGAGGGGATGAAGGCCAGCTACAGTATATTACAAGCGTGTCTGGACTCTATATACTACAGAATAACACCTGCTGCATTATATCCAACTGCAAAATGGGGAAAAGATGACGGTATTTGGATTAATGAGCAATCTAGACCACTTACAGTTGTGATTTCACCTTCCGTTACATACACTCAAGATCAAAGTCTTTTAACTGCGGCGTCAAGGGAAGAAAGAGTAAGCAGACTTGAGGATAATACCTCTAGCTTTGCATGCTCTGCCCCCTCACTGACGGACAGGGTCTCACTATGTTTATAACCTCGGCTAGCCTCCGACTCATTATCAGACTTCGCAGTTTTTTTTGTAATGAATTTTATCCACATCCTCTTTGGTTTTATTGCTGTCCTTTAATTTAAGTACAAGAATATAAAGGAAGCCAGGCATGTCACTCTATGTGTGTAATTAATCCCAACACTTAGGTAGGAGTACTGTATCCCAGTCTCACTGCACTCTCCCCAGGCAACCCAACATCAGAAGGTCTTTTGATAAAACAGGAACTACGGTTGACTTGAATGATTTCCATTCTTCTCTCCTCCTCGTCTTTTCATCCATCCACAACAGCTCAAAGCCCAGATGAAAAGCTGACAGAAGAAAGTGCAGGACTTTTATTTAGATGTCCCCTCTTCTCCTGGGTCTTTCTGTGGTTGGCTCCTTCCAGTCTCCACCTCTGGATGACTGTCAACCCTACACTAACCTCTGAAGTCACTCTTTATGGCCTCACTCTGCCTTACTTTCCGTATCATTTCTTTAGTTATTTTCTATTTCTCATACTAGTGTAAACTCCATGAAGGCAGAACTATGTCCAACCCACTGGGACTGTCTCTAGTGCTTACAACAGAGACCAATGGAAGATAAGCACTCAGTGTTCATTCACACATCGGAACTTCTTGCCTCAAGAATAGACTGTGGAGCAGAAGCCACCTTTCTTTCCTCAACAGCCTGACCACCAACCTTCCTCTTACAGTCTGAAAACGGAACAAGACAGGCAGGGGACAGAAGGAACCACCATCCTAACCACCTTTCCTAACTCCCCCATTCCTCACCGCTGAAGCCAGCATCTAGAAGTGAGTCATTAATCCCTCTTTTTCCCATAGCCAAACTGATAACTTTAATCAAGATAGAGCCTAAATTAAATCAGTCAAAATGCATTTAAAAACAGTTTGAAATAGCCTTCATCTCAAAGGTTCAAACTGACAGTAATAAATACTAAAGTAAATGATAAAAAGCTGAATAACTGTATATAGATACCTTGCTAGGTCTGTTGAACCCAGACCCAGGGCGATGTGAAGGAAATAATGCCAAGATGTTTCCGAGAAAAGGAGAGAAATCAGTGCTCTCTGTTGGTAGAGTTCTGTGCAAGTAACAATTCCAAGAGCCATTAACATTTTCTCCGTAACTTTTCCTACTCCAGAAACCTAGAAGAGAATCCACATTTAGATGAAGCTGAGTATGTCCAGGGTGGTATAGCCACAGACGAACCAACATTTACAATTTAGAATTTTAAAATGAGATTATAAGAGTGTGTGTGTGTGTGTGTGTGTGTGTGTGTGTGTGTGTAGGAGAATGTTGTTGGTGTTGAGGTTTGAACACAGAGCCTTGAACATGCTAAATAAACAGTTCCAGTGAGTGACATTCCCAGTTGAAGATTATAATCTTCTATAGCTAATAAAAGGTATGAATAGTATTATTTTCACATGTCATGCAAGAAAATGGTTATTATTTTTTGGTCACATAGCTTAATGTGAATTAAATAAAAATTTTAAAGGCACTGAACAAAGAGTTCTGTGGTCATAAAAATTTTGGAAATGGTAGAGCAAACAAATGAAACTTTTTAGTATAATATGATTTACTATTTATGATTCTTTAACATACTAATACCTGCATTCCAAAGGGATTTAGAATTTTGTTTTTGACAAATTAAACCAAAATACTCCACCACCTTTAAAAGAATAACATTTTTCCCCCAAGGTTCCAGAAATGACGTATTTTATTACTTATGGATTCTGGGTTTTTGCGCTCTATGTCTCCTTTATCTTTTTATAATTAAAAATTTTAAATTATTATTTTATAATTAAGAACTTTTAAATGAGATTTAAAAATCTCACCGATATTTGAACTCATCCAATATTTGAACCGAGAACTTAAAAAAATGGGACACTTATTCATACTTTAGAAAAAACTACCATTAACACGGTGACCTTTGCTACAGCCTGTTCCTTTACATAAATTTAATCATATCCATTATTTTGAGCAGGCTCTAGCCTATCATACAGTATAGAGTTCAATTGTTAAAAAAAATAAAGAGGACCTAGAGCCCAAAAATCCAGAAAGTATAAATAATAAAATATGCCATTTCTGCATCCTTGTGGGAAAATGTTATTATTTAGAGATGGTGAAGTACTTTGATTTAATTTGGATTTTAATTGGGGAGTGTCACACCTATTCAGCTGGCAGCTGCCTGGACTGGAGAACTGACAGCATTATGGTACCATTGAAAGCACTCCTCCAAGTGCTCCTCGTACGTCCTTTCTCCTCGGCAGGTATGGACTTACAGTCTAGCATCTCTTACTTAAACTCTTGCAGATAAGCTCCTTAAATCTTACTTTCAGAGTTCTAAGTGCACATTCAGTCACCCAGCAAAGTTCTCACCCGCCAGCTACTATTTTACAACTATACAGCAAAGAACAGTTACTATCTGTGTGGTGCCTCTCTAGAAGTCAGAGTATATGCACACATGATAACTTCATATAAACTCTTACCTTTCTAATAGGCAAGTCCTTGATGAAGTCCATCACTGCTTTTCTGCTGGGCAGAATTTGGTATTGTCCATTTGGCTTATTCTTATCACTGCACACTTTTGCTAACATTGTATTGGGGGCAATACCTTAAAAAGAAGAGCACTCAATGATTCAAAGAAGTTACTATATATAAGTTAATTATGTGATAAGAAAATGAAAGTTAAATGCAAATAATCTGAAATGACACATAACGCTACTTTAAAAATGACATTTGGCTACTGACAATCTCCCCAGGGCTTCCTGTGGTTTTAGGGAAAGGGAATATATTACCTATGGCAGCAGGAAAAGTGAGAAATATTTGAGTCTCCATATTTTAAAATTCAAGTGTAATTTCTGAACTGAGTAATATGAAGTGTTAGTACTTTATTTATAACTATACTAGGAATACAGGGTTGTTTTGTAGTGGATCCTTATTTATTTCTCAGAAAAGATCCAGAATATAGTTTAAGATAGATGTTTACTTTCTGAAAAGTTTTTCTGAATATAAATTTTCACATTAAAAAAATTAATATTCTGACTTACAATATATTAAAAGCAATAACAATAAAAACTTTTAATTTTTATTGTTACTCACAAAGCAAACCACCATACATTATGACTTAAAATTTCTAGGAGTCTTAAGACAATTTACAGTAGGTATACCTAAAAATATTTTTAATAGCTCATATTGGCTTTTATAAATACTTTCCTAAAGCTGATTATACATGCTTATCCTTTGGAATTGAAAACATTACCCTAATCACAACACACATGACTTTACAAGATAATTCCTTTTTATAATGTGATAATTTATTTATCACAATATTTTGTAATAAGTGGCTGTAACCATTATTAGTTCCTATGCTAAGACCCTGTGATGCTCTTAGGGGTCAAGGACAGACAGAAAGTGGCGGTGCTTTGTTGGCTTTGGTTTTTTAACAGACGGTCTTAAGCTGCAAGCTGATCTTTTTCTGGGTGGGAGTGCAGAGGAGTTCACCAACCTTCATGTATTCTAGGTTCTCTGCTACAATGTAATCTAGGACAAGTGCCAATCAAATATTCTGTACAAATCCAACTAAAATAAATTCTTCACTTAAAGGATCACTATTCTAGATTTATGATAGTCTTTTTGCCTTGGGCCATAGGCTTTTTTGCTTAATTACAGCTTACCCGTAGGTTTAGCTAGCTTTAGTAGGTAAACGTTGCTAGCAGCCAAATCAGATGCTACCATCACTTCACAACAAGGAACTATGACTAGTAGTGTGGAATTAACTAGCATGACTTCCCCAGCAGAGGCCGGAGTAGCCTTAAATACCTGCACTGGCTGTCAGTGTTGTTTTCTGTTCAATTCTGAAGCGAATTTCCTTCACCGCTTCCTCAGCTGATGTTCCAAAAACAACTGAATTTTGGAGTATTTGAGGATTGTCTTCTTCTTCAGAGTTCAGTTGGAAAGGATTTCCTTGGAGTTGCAAATCAGGAGGACTATCTTCAAACAGCAGTGGGGAGCTGGCCGGTTCATCCTCACTCACTTTGTGAGCTTCCTTGCCCGGCTTATCTGAATCTCAAACAGGAACAGCAAGTCACTTCACTTTACAGAGGGCACATTTGTCAGGCTAGGTTTTATTTCATTCTTTCACTTTTCAATGCCTCCCCCATCCCAATCCCCTCTATTATTTTTCTCTTTCTCTTCTCTGCCCCTCGCCCCGCCCAGTTCTCTCTGTGTGTGCACATGCCTGTGTCTGCTTCAAACAGTCTAGTAGCCCACACTGGCCTCACTTAACCACGGAGCCCACACTAGCCTTGAGCTCCTAATGGTTGCTGCCCAAGTCTTCTAAGAGTGGGATTACAGCCAGGCGGTGGTGGCGCACGCCTTTAATCCCAGCACTAGGGAGGCAGAGGCAGGCGGATCTTTGTGAGTTTGAGGCCAGCCTGGTCTACATACAGAGCGAGATCCAGGAAAGGCGCAAAGCTACACAGAGAAACCCTGTCTTGAAAAACCAAAAAAAAAAAAAAAAAAAAAAAAAAAAACAACAAAAAAGGAGTGGGGCTACAGGCATCAGTGCCCACCTCTCGCCTCACTGCTGGAAACAAACCCAATTCAGTTTTGTTTCTAGGAATCAAGATGAGAAAGGCTATCTTTTATCTTTGTAAATATTTAATAAAGAAAACGCTGTCAGGCTTTCCTTAAAAGAGCATTGTCCATTTTTTAGTGCATATTTTAAAGAGAACAGTTGAATTAACTTCAGAAGTCCATTACTTTTTCTTTAAGAAGAGAAATATTTTTCATTGTATTCTTCTCTTAAGGAGAAAAAGATCCTTCTTAAGTTAAACTTAGGAATGTGAAGGAAAAAGCATTAAACAATAAGAGTAATTGCAACCAAAATTAAATTTTGTTTTGGAGGAAGACAAACTTAATTTTCCTTTATTCATGGAAGAAACTTTAAAAATGTTAAAAATACTCTCAAATGTCTCTTTTCAAATGTTTGATTCACTTTTTTGAGACAGGGTTTCACTGTGTAGCCTTGATTGTCCTAGAACTCACTCTGCAGATCAGGCAGATCTCAAATTCACAGATATCTGCCTACCTCTACCTCCCAAGTGCTAGGATTAAAGGCATGCACCACCATCACTCAGCATGCTTTTAACTTGCTTATTAATAAAACATTACTTTCACAGAGGGTGCCTTTGCTATAAATGGAAATTACTCCTGAAAGTTGAACATTTTTTATACAAATTCTTATTTGAATTATCCAATATTTGAAGGTCCAAATTTAAGGCAAAAAAGTATAATTATCAATACATTGGAAAATGTTATTATTAAAAAGTAAAGTAGCTGGGCACAGTGGTGCATGCCTGTAATCCTAGTACCCAGAAACTCGGGAGGATGAGGCAGGAGGATGACAAGTTTGTGCTTATCCTGGGGTGCAGAGTGAGATCCCATCTCAAACAAAGAAACACATATATATTTTTTTAATGTAAGGTAATGAACTAGCTATTAGCTTATGCCAATTTTTCAAATACAGTGTAAAATACACTTAACTCTATTCTGATACCAATACTAAAGATATTCACATGAACAATTCCATTAAAAACTATTCTCTAGCCGGGTGGTGGTGGCACACACCTTTAATCTCAGCACTTGGGAGGCATAGTCAGGCGGATCTCTGTGAGTTCGAGGCCAGCCTGGTCTACAGAGCAAGATCCAGGACAGGCACCAAAACTACACAGAGAAACCCTGTCTTGAACCCTGCCCCCCAAAAAACCCAAACCTATTCTCTAAACTTAAAATAGAATAAAACAATTTAAATGTATTTATAAGATTAATAATAGAGTTTCTTGATCCCATTTCATAACATGTATATTTCCCAATAATTTGGTAAAGGCAGAAGAAACAATTAAATTCTTATATTTTTTTGTAGCCCAGGTTAGCCCTAAATTAACTACATACCCTGCCCAGGCTGGTCTTGAACTTCTAATTCTATTGCCTCAGCCTTCAGAAAGCTGGGATTATAGGTATGAAAACATACTAAGCTTAATTAAATTAAATTTTAAGACACAGTTGAAGTCATTTTACTGGAAAAATGAACTTGGTCTTTAGAAAATGTCTAAAGATATGTAAATCAGGTAACAGATACTTGATTAGTTTCAAACTTTAATTACAACATATGAATTAATTTATAGATAGACGTTTCCCAAATTTGAATTCACAGACCATATACATAATATAACCTATTTTTCCTACATCTGTGCTTCAGGTCATTTCCATTTTCACATTCTGATTTTTAAACCTTAGAGCCACTTGAAGAGGAGTAAGAGGATGGGACAGCTGAATGAGGGTCACCCAGAAGCCCTTTCCTCCAATTGACTGGAAAGAAGTCCTGGTAAAGAGACAATGCAGGCCAGGTGTGTCCCGGTCCAGGTCCCAGCCCTCTCTGCAGTGACTAGCACCGGTGCCCTCTGCTCCAGGAAGCAGAGCATGCTGCCTCTGGTACACTGTCAGAGCGGCTGCAGAGCACACAGGCATCTTTTCAACCTCAGTTGTGTTCCACTGGCTGCATCGCTAACTGCTGAGTGGTTCCTTCCTCCTGAATGAAATCCCTTCACCGTCTCCATGACTGACGCAATGAGAGCGCAAAGCTAGATCAGAGCACTCCATCTGGACGTCAAGCACTCAAGCATAGAGCATTGGGTTTCTTACACACTCGCCAGCTAATTTGTACGGCAAAGCAAACATAAAACAATGGTCATTATTTTATTTGCAAATAAAGACAACAATTCACCACATATTTCTAGAGACAAAGAATCTTTCATAAAAGGGCAAATAGGAAAATGTCTGACTTGAGAAAGATCCATCAGTCACCTACCATTCTTCCAACACCCTGCAAATACAAGGTCTGATATTCATAAAAGTCTAGCCCACATGGAATTATGTCTGAGAAACAAAAGTTAAAGCATTTGATTTGCTTGGGAATATGAACTAGATGAAGAGAACACTATGCAAACGAGCAAACAGAAAGCCATGCTCCTGTGACATCACCTTATCATCGTCAGTTTGGACACAGGACACACTGAAAGGAGCATTGGTAGAGAATGAGAGCCACTCACCTTAAGCCCAAAGCAGTTTTTCAAACACAAGGTAAGAGTCATAGTTACAGAGGACCCTTTGGGGTGATAATTTTTAATAATTTCTCTCTCACCTTCTCTCATAAAAGCTAAGAACTAACAAAAAGAGATTCTTAAGCGTCAGTCTTTACAAAGTTATAACAAAAAAGCAAAGTTGTTGTTGTTTCAAGCTTCTGTGTCCAGAAACTATTCTCTTTCTTTTCTTTTCTTTTCTTTCTCCCCGCTCCCCCCTTTTTTGATGTTTCCATCAAAGAAAAACGAGAGACCTAACCCTTGGAAAAAATGAGGCTTCAACTTGATGTCTATATTAAACTTGCTGCAAGCAAGGTGAGCCCCTAATAGTTTGAGGCTTAGAATTTGATGCTGCCAGGACATGGTGGCACATGCCTTTAATCCCAGTACTGGGGAGGCAGAGGCAGGAGAATCTCTGTGAGTTCCAGGCCAATCTGGTCTACAGAGCAAGTTCCAGGACAGCCAGGGCTCAAGGCTATGTAGAAAAACCTGCCTGAAAAGAGTAACAACAACAACAAACCCCCAAACAACAACAACAACAAAAACAACCAAACAAGAAGGGAGAGAGAGAAAAGAAAAGAAAAAAATTTGCTGCCATTGTGCATCTGCCATTGTTGTTCAAGGAACATTACTAACGTATTTCCCCACACTGCCCAGCCCCTTTGATGCTGTGAAATGAAACATGGCTACAACTTGTGAGTGAATCCCTTAGGTCACCTTTCCAGCTGGGTGACCTTGGTTCATGGATTCAAGACAGGTCGGACGTTTGAAGTAACAGCACTTTCGGCGAAGGGACTGGGAGCAGAATGAATGTGTAACACCTGAATGTTCTGGATAAATGATAAAAGGGTTGCTTGACACATATATGGAGCCCTGAAACTTTTAATTGTACAGAAGAGTGCAGGAGGGTCTGGGCAATGACTTAGTGGATAAAGCACTTGCCAAACAAGCTTGAGGACCCGAGTTTGGATCTATAATACCTGCATAAAAGCGAGGTACAGCTGGGTGGGGGGCACTGAGCTCGGGGTGAGGGTACAGACAACGCCAACAACAAATCCCCAGAGCTTACCAGAAAAGCACTCAGCTCCAGATTCAGAAAGTGACCTTGACTCAGACAATAAAAATAAAAATAAATAAATAAGGTCTCCCCCTCCGAGTGCGAGAGGAGACACTGGGGTCCATTACTGCTTCCGTCCCCCGTGAGTTTTAGTAAGGTCTTAGTAAGTACGTGGTGAAGAAGGGAGAGAGAAGTCACGATTTTTCACAGGGTTGAAAACAGTCACATTATCATATTAGAACTAGATTACAGGAAACTTGAGAAACAAAGAAACATAAAGTCACCAAAGGTTTTAGTTGTTTGGGGCTAATCTTTTTTCAAAACCTGATTTCTATCAACAATAACAACAACAAAAAGCCACTTTCAACAGGAACTTCCTCCACTTCAATGCGATCTAAACCCTTTGATATTAAGAAAATAATTGTTCTGCAACTAACTACTCTGAAGAAGAACCTTGTAGATTGTTAAAGTCTGGAGATCCAACATTGTCATCTGATTTTAAAGAGACTGCACACAATTTTTAAAAACCTACTGGTATATTTTAAGTTTCTGATTTTTCATTTTTACACAGACAAACCTAATCCTACCCTACATACACAAATGAATTAATTGGGTTGGTTCAAAGAGCTGCTTACTATTAGTATTTAGTTGGTAATTCTAATAAAACCGCTTACCAGTTTTTACAGAGTTTCCTGCTTTGTTGAAGTATCTTCTTTTGTCCTCAGGCCAACTTTGCCTTTCCTCCAAGTGCTGTGTTATATTCAGGTAGGCTTCGTCCAGACTCATGGCCAGAAAGTTGGGATCATATTCAGCAAGAATCTCCCTAACCTTCAAAAAGAACAACAACAATAAAAGTTGACATTTTGCTGCCACAGCAAAACTTCCTGTCTTATATATCTGATAAAAAGCACGAATATTCTTACTTTGCAACTATAGTAATGAGCCTGCAATCAATAGCTCACGGATTTAAGGAATAAAAAATTTACTACCAGTGGATATTTGTCAAATTCTCCTTTGCACTAAAATGGACCACGAAGGCAGAAGACCATGAAGTGGCTTCATCTGATGCAATCTGAATCCAGCATCCTATATCTAGAAACACTAAGCAAGTCAAATAAATCTCACACAATATTCTGGTAGGAACAGAAAAAAAAGTGATTAAGGTTTACCATAGCTAGTCAAAAGGAGGAGTGGGCATGCATGATAGCATTCTCTCTCATCTCTTTTGTGAAGATTTTTGTTTATTTAAAAAAGGAATGTAAAGTGCTATGATGTTTTAGAGAGCAGTATACTTCAGTTGATTATAATATGAACAATATTCATACAAAATAAAGCTCTACTATTTATAGGAATCTGGACCGGGAAAGATGATAAATCTATAGAATACTTGCATGCTTGCATTAAACAAAAGATGAAAATTTGGAGTTTCATTGTGACATGAAAGAAATACACAAACATTAGAATTACAGCTAATATAATTCAGTAATGCCTTTGGTATGGGATAGGTTTATTACATGAAACCACGAAGGAGGCTTTTTGCTGTTTGTCTTTTAACTACCAAAGAATTAGCTGAAATAAGAGGGAATGATAGCCAAAATAACCCATCTAATAGAAAATATCTCTGCTGAATTGTTATTCTTCATCTAACATTTAAAAGCTTTGTATTATATCATTAGAAAACTTTTGTGTTTTATAAGTAAGAAACTGTTCTATTTTAACATAATCATGAACAACTGAGGGGAATTTTAGAAAATGGTGATGTCAAACTTGCTGTATTTTTATTCAGAGTGCTTTAAATACTTTTGTTCTTGTAGAAGAAAACACTCTGTAACAGATGCAAACAGTATCTTCCTAGCGAAAACAAAACTCTGGAACGTGTGTACCTGGCAGCCCACTAAGCCTCTGAATGAGAAGTGCTCCCTGGAGGCATGGCTGAGTACTTCTCACTTCCTTTCCATAGGACACTGCCACAAGAACCAAAATGGACTGTTCCCGGAAACACCAAGCACTTAGATCTAAGAACAATAAAGTTATCCTAATATTTGGACAAAACAGAAATGGATGTTCCTGAAACTTATTAGCCAGGCCAGAAACATGAATGCATTGATACTGCATTTACATGTAAAACTCATTTGCTACATTAACTAGTGAGACACTGCTCAAACTTGAAGCACTTTTCTATCTTATGTAAATAACCAGGTGACAGATAACTAAAAATAACTTAGCTCTCATGTCGTACTGCCAGAAGTTTGACTGAGCTACAGTAGGATTCAAGGTCTTTCTTACAAAGTCTTTATAAGAATTTTTAATTATCAAAGCCTGTACTTATGGTGTTATTTATTTATTTTTACCTATGAATACATAAAAAATTATCGAAGGTTGCTGTGGAAAGATCCTTAGATCCTTCTGTACACTGTGAATATGTATTTCTCTCATTGGTTGATAATAAAGCTGTTTTGGCCTATGGCAAGGCAGGATAAGGTTAGGTAGAAAAACGAAACTTAAGGAGGGGAAGAAGAAGCGCAGATTTGGGGAGACATGAGCCAGCCACCCAAGGAACAAGATGCCAGATAACCAGTAAGCCACGGACCATGTGGCAATAAATAGATTAATAGAAATGAATTAACTTAAATGTAAGAGCTAGTTAGAAATAAGCCTGAGCCATCGGCCAAGCATTTATAATTAATATAAGCTTCTGTGCGGTAATTTGAGAAGCAGCTGCCAGGTATTTGGGAACAGGTGGGACCAAAAGCTCTGCTTCCATTTACAGAAGGTATGTTCTCCTTGCCTACCACTTTTTCAAAAGTAGGCACAAAGCAATTGACTTAACAGACTGCTTTGGAATGAATAAAACTGTTTTAATAGGGGGTAATATTTTAGGGAAAATGAAGGAGAATAAAAATAAGGCAATTTAAAGCTCAGCTGCACGTCTAAATGACAGCAAGTATGTGCTGGGGTTGGAGAGATGGCTCAGCAATTAAGAGTATATACCGTTCTTCCAGAGGACCAGAGTTGGGCTCCCAGCACCCACATCGAGTATCTCACAACTACCTCTAAGTCTGACTCCAGGAAATTTACTGACTCCATAGGCATCTACACATATGTGCCTACCACACACAGGCACAAATACATACATACAATCAAAAATTAATAAAAATACATCTTTAAAAAAGTATTATGCCATAGTTTTAGTATTTATATTTAGACAGTTGCTGTATCCTTCTTCTCTTTTTCTTTTTGAGATAAAGTCTCATATAGCTTAGGCTGACCTCAAAATTACTGAGTGGTTGAGGTTAGCCTTGAACTCCTGATCCTCCTGTCTCCACAGTGCAGGAATTACAAGTTATGCTCAGACAATACTCTATGATACACTTCGTTTTATAATAGCAGTCTAAAAGTAATGCACATGTAGCACTCTAGATTTTAACCAAGGAATTAAGTCCCGACAGTGTATGATAGATCAACTTTAATGAAAATGGAAGAGATGATACTTTTTCACATAGGACAGTTCAGAATTTTAGTATGTAAACAAATCACTATGCTTCATTCTTTTCCAAGCAAGAGAGTATCCACTACCCCCCTTTTTTGGAGTCTCTTGGCTCTGTAAGATTAAGAGGCAAGCAAAGCAACTAACCACACTAAGTGAGTTTTGTTTCTGTTTAAAAGGACAGAGGCAGGCTTGGTGACCCAGGCCAGCCTGAGCTACATAGTGAGTTCCAGGCCAACCTGGGACAAAACAAACAACAACAACAAAATAATTATATAAATTTAACTTAGAATAGATTGAAATTAATGATGCATAAATTCTATAAACTAGAAATATTAGGTTATTCTAGACAAATTATTTTATACCCCAAGAAAAATATTGAAAATTAACTTTATGCTATAATTATTAAGGCTTTACGAAGTTTTGAGGAATTGTAGAGAATTGAGAAACAGAAAGATATGTTCTGGATACTATAAACAGCTCACTAGTCTCTACAGCTAAGACCAAATCTTGATAGTTTAAGGCATTTGGAGTTGAATTTAGGTGACAGAAAGCCAGTAAAAGGGTTTGGGGTGAGACATTCACTTACCTCCTTACTCACAGCTCTATATTTGTCAAAGTTCGGGGGCACTATAATAAGTTGTGGGCAGAGTCTCTTAGCAATAAATCCTGGCATGGCTGCGCGAACACCAAACCTCCTTGCGTGGTAATTTGAAGTAGACTGAAAGAAAATGGACCGCATAGGGAAAAATAAACAACCTTAAATGGACGTATTGATCAGTACATTCATAAGAAACACATTACTGATGTGCATTTTCAATTCAAGGGCATTTCTTTTATAAGCCACTGTCTTGAACCACATCTGACTTTCTTAAAAAACCATGACCCTGTCTCATTGTTATTTCTAAATTTATAACATGGTACCAGGTAATAAGTAGGATTGAACCAATGAAAAATTCTTTTAAAATAGGTGTGGTGGTGGATATTTGTAATTCCAGCCATCAGGAGACTAAGGCAAGAGAACTACTAGTTTGAGGTTCAAGGTCAGCCTATTCTACACAACAAATAATGGCTTTAAATAATTTAAAAATATTTTTGTAGTATTTAAACTTCAATGGCTTAAAGTATTCTATAATATCATATATATCTAAGCCTGGATGATAGTGAATACTCTATGAAACTAACAGTAGATAATGTAGAATAGTTATAAAGTAATAAGAAAATATCTAGAATATACAAGTTACACAAAGTAACAGTATAAAAAGTATTAGTATATACATATATAAAGTATATACATTAATAGAATATAGGAAGAGGATCTTTGTCCAAAATGCTTGGGATTAGAAGTATTTCAGACCTAAGTTTGAAGACTTAGGAATATATACATAGATTTTTACCAGTTAACCATCCTTGATCTGGAAGTCTGAAATCCAAAATTTTCCACAATCCAATATCTTTTTGTGTATGTGTCCACGTGTTCATGCATATCCACGTGCATGCAGGTGAAGGTCCCAAATCCAAACTTTTTAGTGATATATTTCATATGTCTGTGATTAGTGATGCTCAAGCAATAGTATGCATCAAGAATTTGCTCCATCTGGAAATTTTTATCTAGCACAAAAAAATTCAAGGCCTGCTGTCTGGTCAGCAAAACTATGTCTCTAAAATGAAGTGCTTAAAAATTAAAAAGAATTTCAAATTTGAGTTTTATTTCTTAAAGCTTGAAGTTCTTGGCAAAAACATTTTGGCTAGGAAATGAGACTAAAAAGTATGAGAATGAAAAAAATGATAATATTTAATAAATCTTGTTCATGATGGCATTTGCCAGTGGTTCAAGCCAAAGTGGAAAACCATAATATCATTTATACCAAAGTTTAACAATGAATGGAACTTTTATTAGGAACCTAAGTGAGTGCTCAGCCAAATGCAAGCCAGATCTATCAAATGAAGGCATTATTTCAGAAAATCAGATTTCCTTTAAAAATTTTGAAAAAGATTTAAAAAAAATCTTGATAGAACTCCCAACTACCCTAATCCTTGTTCAGTGCTCTACAGAATAAAGTGCAGAGAGCACTATAAATGCAAAGCCATGCTTTAAAGTCAAATTAATAAATCTTGGGGCCAGAAATGGCTCCGTGTTTAAGAGTAAGTACTGGCCGCTCTTGCAGAGAACTTGAGTTCGATTACCAGGACCCACACCACAGCCCACAGCCATCTGTTACTCCGTTTCCAGGGGACTCAATGCTCTCTTTTGGCCTCCGCAGGCACCAGGTGCATTTAGTGGTGCAGACATACATGCAGGCAAAACACTCATATACACAGAATAACAGTTTACTAATTTTAAATAAATCCTACAAAACTGATATGAAAGCTAGATTTATTGAAGAACAAAGTTTTATGAGGTGTGAGTTCCTCAGATTTTTGGGTTTGTAGTACATTGTAAATAGTAGCATCTCTCTCTCTCTCTCTCTCTCTCTCTCTCTCTCTCTCTCTCTCTAGCTAGCTATCGATCTATCTAGCTTGTTTGTTGGATTGCTTTTTGAGACAGAGTTGGTTTCTCTGTGTAGCCCTAGCTGTCCTGGAACTTTCTCTGTAGATCAGGCTGGCCTCAAATTCAGAGATCCACCTGCCTCTGTATCCTGTGTGCTGGGATTAAAGGTGTGTGCCACCACTGCCCAGCTTAGTCACAATAGTTTTACACTTACTTTTTTTTTTTTAAATCTATTTATTTTTATTTCATGTACACTAGTGATTTCATCTGCATTTATGTCTGTGCAAGGGTGTCAATTCCCAGGAACTGGAGTTACAAACAGTTGTGAGCTGCCATGTGGGTGCTGGGAATTGAACCCAGGTCCTCTGGAAGAGCAGCCAGTGCTCTTAACCACTGAGCCATCCCCTCTGCCCCTATATTTACTCTTATCAAAAGGCAGAGTCTAGTTTCATGCAAAGCAATTTGCCTGACGACTTAAACCAAAAGAATTAGAAGGAAATAACGCTGTATGTTCTGAAGCCTTAGTTTTAAGAACTTGTAGCTTTCATTTTTTATTCTTATGGTTCTGCAATCACTAAAAAGTGTTTAGAGCATGTTAAAGGGTACATTATAATACCAAGTGACAAGACACCACATGGAGATAATGAAGTCTGAGGAGAAGCCACTTTAATCACCACAGTCGAAGTGCCAGACCTGACTGAATCCATCTTGAATCCCCCATGTTAGATGGTGCTGACTAATCCCGGAAAAAACAGAGCCAACTCGTCCTTACTGAACTTTGTATAAACTAAATATCACAAGAAAAAACATAGCTGTCTGTGGGAATAGAAGAGGTTGCTTATGCCGTAATGGATGCTGCTGTGGAGTCTCACTGACTCTCAGTGCCAACTCAGAAAATTTCAAAAATCCATCAAATCCACCAAAAAAAAAAAAATTCCATGTGTAACAGACTGAAAGAGTCAAACACGTGGTGTCACCCCCATTAACTTGTAGGTAAACTTTCTATGAGTTTACTAAACAAAAACAATTAGCTTCAGCTCTCTTCAGAAGGGAAATCTATTAGCTCAGCATATAAAAAAAGGATTTAAATCTTTGTTTAATATGAAAATAATAATTTTGAACTTGAAATTTTTAGGTTAGAAACTGTTAGAGAGAAAATATTTGTGGATTTCAAAAACAGTGGGTTTAGTTCAAACATGGTTATGGAAAGTGTGTGTGTAAGTATACACACACACACACACACACACACACACACACACACATATAAATTATTTCTTTTCTTTCAGATTTCATTGGCGGTTTACAGGAAAAGAGTACACATCAACAAAGCATTGCTTTAAGGACCAGCTGATCATGAGTGGCTGCATACCCATGACGGATTACAGACTCATAATACAGTAATGGTTATAATACATAGGGCCACTGGGAAGTCAGCCACAGGGAGGGACCCCCTCGTTTCTCTAGTCGTTTGTAATACAGACACCTATCTACTCTAGCTGCTGGTTTTAGACGAGATGTGCTGCACTGTGGCGGTATGCCTGCAGACAGCTGCTACCTTTAATTACTATGTTTTCAGTCATAGGCATGGCTCCTGTTACCTTTACCTTGATTTAGGACAGAAAAAAAAAATCAACCTAGTAGTCATAAAACAAATGATTCTGAGTTATGGGAAAATTAACTGCACTCTAGATATATTAGTAAACTATGTTATTCTAGAACAGGGGTTGGCAAACCTCTTCCGTCAAACTTCATAGTACATAATCACTTTAGGTCTGGCAGCTTCGTTTCCTTAGCGACCACACACTTCTATTCAATTGTGCTCCTCTAGTGTGCCAGAAGTAAACAAGTGGCCATAACTGCTTTGCCCTAATAAAGTTTCTTCACAAAAACTGATGACAGGCTGGACTTGGTCTGCAAGCCAGTTTCAAAACCTCTGGCTGAAGATAACATTTCCTTTGCTTTGACTTTTTCCACTCTCCCCAGAACCCTTTGGAAAGAGTTCATTTGCAATGGAAGGATGCAATGCTACTCTACTGTTTTACTGAGTTTGTAACTTTGGGCAAGTCATTATCTCTCTCTGCTTCTTTTTTTCTTAAGTAGAAATAAAAATTAGTATGATCAGTTACATTGAAAGGATTCAGTAACAGCATATGTAAGTCACCTGGAAAAGCAGAGAAGTCCTCAGCAAACTGGCAAGTCTCAGTAAGCTGACCTGATAGCCTATGAAATTTCCTTTTTGTTTTTGATCTTCACCTACTTACCAGCATACTCATTGATCCTACAGCAATGGGTTTATCCTTCAATTCTGGATTGTCTCTCATTTCTACAGCTGCATAGAAAGCATCCATGTCAACATGAACTATGGTATTGTTCAAATTCCGGTTCCGTTCTAATTCCATTGCAAATCTGTCAACCTTAATTTTTAAAAAGTTAACATACTTTTAGACAATATGATATCAAAACATCATTAATCATAAATTTTAATTCAGAAGGTATCTTTCTATCTGCCAATCTACTTACCTATCCATCCATCCACTTACTTACCTATTGGGTGTATATTTTCTTGTATTTATGGGTATACAGTTTATTGTTGTTTATTAAGGTTATTAACTGCTTTTATTTTCACACAGAGATCCTACTTTTATTCACTATTTTTAAAATTTGTGTGTGAATGTGATTGCTCACCTATGCTTGTGTGTTTGGCCAGGAATGTCTTAGGTCTCTTCTTCTGGTGCTCTCCCTCTTATATTTGGAAACAGGATTTCTCATTGAATCTAGAGCTTGCTCTTTTAGCTGAGTTGGCCGGTCAGTCAGTCCCTGGAACCCATCTGTCTCCCACAGAGTGCTGGGGTTACAGACATGATGCCACACCGGGGTGCTGGGGCCCCAAACTCAGGTCCTCATGCTTACACAGCAAGGACTTTACCCACGAAGCCATCTGCCCAGACTGACGGCCTATTTTAAAATATAATTTCCTAGGGACTCTTCTATCCTCCCAGGAATACAGCAGGAACTTACCAAGTATTCAATGAATAAATGAGCTATCCCAGCTGCCTGCATCAAACCATGCTACTACTGAACAAACTGGAAGAAACTTATATTGAAAGTTTCTATTTAGGCAAATGAAACAATTCCCATTTGACTCAAAAGGTTAATGTCTTAAGATAGAAACAAAGGAAATGCACAATCAAAGATCATACACTGGCACATGATATAATGTTGCACAATAATGTGCAAAGGAACATGCTGAAGTACAAAGTAATGATCCTTCTGCAAACCGACTTTTGGAGTGCTGTCTTGGTTAAGGTTTCTATTGCTGTGATGAGACATCATGAGCAAAAGAAATGTGGGGAGGAAAGGGTTTAGTTAGCTCACACTTCAGCATCACCAAAAGTAGTTAGGGCAGGAACTTTAACAGGGCAGGGGCCTGGAGGCAGGAGCTGACACAGGGCATGGAGGAGGGTTGCTTATTGGCTTGCTTCTCATGGCTTCTTCAGTCTGCTTTGTTGTGGCACCACCCACAATTGGCTAGGCCCTCCCACATCAATCATTAATTAAGAAAATGCCCTACAGGCTTGACTACAGCCTGACCTTATGGAGGGAGGCATTTTCTCAGTTGAAGAGTTCCTCTTCCCTGACTCTAGCTTGTGTCAGGTTGACATAAATCTAGCCAGTACAAAAGCTAAAGTCTGAGATTGCTACTCTACACAAGTACCAATTGAAAACGGAAGATGAAGCTTATTTTTCATAAAATTTTAATATATATGTCAAATGTAACAATGCAGAATTATAATCTTTAATAATTTTGGCCTCTTTGAAGAAAAATTATTGGATTAAAAGAAAAAAGAGAAATAAACATAGATAGAAGTAAAATATGTGAGTAAAAAAAGGACTAGATAGCAAACATATTCATAGCTTGCTTTTTATGGGCTGCCTCCACTAATGTGACAGTTTTAATTTTAGCAATCTATAAGGAAGTAACCTAGACCATTAAGGTAGATCGTAAGAGAAAACAGCAATAAAGCAAGCACAACACATAAAGGACATGGAGCCAGCTCAATAAATGAATCTACTACTGAAAGGATCAATTGAGGTATAAGATCAAAAGAGGAAAAGAGCCCCAAAGAAACAAGTGATCTCTTAAATGAAAGCAACCTACCTCGTGTGGAGAGCCACAAAGGTATCAGGTGCCCCTCCCCCTCACACTACAGAACACTTGTTTCATGGTCCTCCTTAGAGGGGACACACACTAGCTGTCCACCAGCTGGGGACAAAGACTGCAGTTCCTCTCTTAGAAACAACACCTCCAATCACATCTGTCTGTAGCAGAGGTGGGATGTCTGCAGGTCTACTCCTGCTTAGTTCCAACTCGGACTGACCCGAGGGACTCTGCATCTGGCCAGCTCTATCCAGAATACCTCTCCCAACTCTGCTGTCACTGGCTTTCAAGAGTCAACTCAAACACCCTGTGAAAGTCAACTGGGTCTTTCTCTTCTGTGCCCGAGAATGATCTTCTCTTGCTTGTCTTCACCACGGCCCTTATTGCATGAGATCATAACTGTGAGTGCGTTCAGAAGGATTTTAACTGCCTTAAAATTTCCCTCAAGAAAGAAAGGAAGGAGGGAGGCAGGTAGGAAAAATAAATATATTGATACCAATATGTTAAAGTTAGTTTTTTTCTAAAGCAGTGTCAGAAAACTCTGGAGGTAAGCTTACAGTGAGACACAAACTGAACAAACTGAACTTCTCATCTTTAATTTTTCACCCTGATTTCAAACTGTTTTTTCTAACACTTCAATTTTGAATAAGGTCATGTGGCCCCGACTGAGGATGACAAATTGTGGAGCTTAATAAAAACTGAAATCTAATCTATAATAATAACAGTATGCCTAAAATATGGATGAAGTAAGAATAAGGGAGTGGCATCTGAAATATTTGGGGCTGGAATAATCTAGAAAGGCTTAAGATACATAGAAAGCAAACCAAGTGGGATAGCTCTGCTCACACTGTAAATTAAGGCTGTGACAGCCTCTTCAGCAATCTATTCTCTCTTGTACTTAATGCAAGTGTGCAGCTGCCAGAAGGAAACCTCACGGCGTGACTCACACATTCCACTTTCCTCTACTATCTCTCATTAGTCACTCTTCTGGCCTGAGCTCTCTCTACTGCTCCCAGATGTACACCACTGCTTTTGAACACTTCTTCTTTCGCTCTCATTCATGATTTCATTTATCCCAGTTTCCTTCAAAATGGCTTTCACATTCCAATCTGAGGCTGTAACATCTACCTTCTTCCTTCTGTTACTTCTGAGGATGTGTATTTCACTGGGGTTAAAATAGGGACTTTCTTTTGGGTCTCACTAGTTACATGACAGTGGTTAAGTTAGCCCTCTAGTCATTTTGTTCCTTATTTGTAAAATGGAACCAAACTAATAGCAAAAGGTCTGAAGGAATGAAAAGATGCTCACATAAAGTGTTCTCAGAGAGGGGTACAGCAAGGGCTTGGGGACAGTGCCTCTTATTTTAAGGTACAAATGACAATTAATGAGTATATCATGTAATATTCTAAGTGTCTCTCACATAAACTCATTTACAGTTAAAACAATTTTGAGACCACAATTATAACACTTATAGATGAGAAAATGAAAGTTGATCAAGTAATTTGTCCCAAGTCACAGAGCTGGCAAATGGGAGATCTGGACTTGGAAAACAGGTAACTCCAAAGTTCATTATCTTATGATGCCTTTCTAACACAGACTTTACGTTTTGTCTTTTTTGTTGTTGCTGTTCGTTTGTTTGCGAGACCCTCTGTGTAGCCCTGGCTGTCCTGGAACTCTGTAGACCAGGTTGACCTAGAACTCACAGAGACCCACCTACCTCTGCCTCCAGAGTGCTGGGAGGAGAGGCATGGATACCACTCCTGACTAACACAGACTTTGAATAGTCTTTAACACTGAAAAAGTTCAGACCAATTTTAGTCATATAGTTTATACCCATACCATATACTAATGTAACTTCTTTTAAAAATTCTCAATTTCTATTACATTTAAGAAAATATTTGGAAAGAATGCTTTTTATTTTCTTGACTTAGTATTTCCATAAATGCTACTGAGTTAACCCAACTTAGTGAAGGCACTTGTTGAAATGGTCAAAATGCACCAATTTGCTATGCAGCTTCCACTTAATACAACATGAATGCTTGCTTATTCAATTTAGGAGCTCATTAGAAGACATTTTATAAGATAACAATTATAATGACTGTGCTTTCAAGAAGTCTGATGAGGGCAGAATACAGTGGAGAATTTTCAAAGAGGTTCACAATGAACGGCCTGGCTTATTCTTGCAGACTACTTCAACCTGACCTACAGGAATTTACACTATCATATCACACATAATAAAATCCAGAGTGTGGAAAATGAGTCTAAAACAGAAACATTTTCCATGAAGATATCTCTGGTTTCTGAGACCTTCTTGGCTCTTTGGCACTTCCTCAGCCTCCTCCCGGGTGCACAGCTTATTTTAGAGGAAAGTCAACAACAAATGAAACAATTCAACAATCAACATAAAACACATTTCCTGCCATTCCTGTTCTGAAAGATGCCAGAGAGGCTCCCACCAAACAGTCGTCTAAGACTGGAACAAAATCTGAAGTTCTCCTGTACAATGGAAGGTATTTTCTATTCTTTTATCAGCATGTTAGACTGGAAAAATTAGTATGAGACCCCCAAAGTCAGCATAATGTACCAGCTAGGTTCTTTTGTATCTGTAAAACTTTTATTAAAGATATTTGTAGATTACAGATCAATAAAACTTACCAAGTCCAGAAAGTAAATTGCTTAAGGAATAAGGTCAACTTAAAGACAGCATTGTTTTGGACAGAACACATTTTTTAAACTTGAAAAATAAATCCTTCACACTTTAACGAAAACATATTTTATATTTCTGCTCAGTGAAAGAAACTATCAAGAATCAAAAGACAAGCTAAGCTAAAAGAAAATATTTGCAAAAATCAGAGCCAATATGTGACTGACACCCAAAATATACAAAGGATTTTTCAAATTCAATTAAAAAATTTGATTTAAAACTAAGCATAAGGCTTGAACAGACACCTCATCAAAGATTTCTACATGGCAAATAAACATATGAAAAGAGGCTCCCCAGTCTATGACAATGAGTAAATGAGGAGTAAAATGATATGATACCATTAACCTGAACATCTCGTGTGGCCCAAATTGAGAACACTGACAGCGCCAAACACTGATTAGAACAAATAGCCACAGGACCCTTCAGCCATTATGTATGATGAGAATGTCAGATGGCATGGTCATCTTGAAAGACAGTTCGGCAGTTTCTCATAAAAACTGGGATTTTTTTTTTTTTTAAACCATATGACCCAGCAAATTCTATTTCTTTGCATTTACTAAATGGAGCTGAAAACTCAGTCCACACATAACTGAAGCATGAGTATCTATAGCAGTTTCTTCATAATTGCCAGAACTTGGAAGCAACCACAATGTCCTCAAGTAGATAAATGGATAAACTGTTACACATCCAGATGAAGAAGAATATTCAGCACATGAAAGCAATGAGCTATCAAGCCGTGAACAGACTCAAAGTGCATATTATTAAGTGAAGGAAACCAGTCTGAAAAGGTTACATACTGCATGATTCCTAGTTCATGGCCTTCTGGCAAGGGTGGAACTTAGGACAGAGTGAAAAGATCAGTGCTTGCCAGGGATTAGGAGGGAGGGAGGGAGGAATAAGTACATCACAAAGCATTTTTAGGGCAATAACTCATATCCTGTATGATACTGTAATGGTAAATATATATTGTTATAAACTTGTCTACACCTATAAAGCATAAAATATCAGTATTGACTTACTGATTTTGCATGATAATGATATGCCATAGTAGGTGCACTAATTGCAACAAATGTAGCACATCTGTGGGAGATAATGCTTGGCTAGAGGTTAGCCTGGGTGAGGGTAGGGCAATCTTTACTTTCTGCTCAGTTTTGCTATGAACCTAAAATAGCTCTAAAAAACTACGTCTTGCAAAAGTCAACATAGGATTTGACTATATAAGCTTCAAAAATATGTCATCAAACTAAAAAATTAAAAGATATATTGGAAACACAACTAGGACATATAGTGAGGAAAAAAATTCCTTAATACATAAGATCTCATAAATGAAGAGAAATAGATACAAACTCTAGAAATCTGGGGGGGGACAGCAATGGCCTGCTAGTTGAACCTCCAAATACATTCTACTGCTTTCTGTTAAAGAGAAAGGCTGGGCAGATGGCCACCCAGCTAGAGAGCATATTTTACAGATTCTCTTGCACTTATGTGTGGTCCTGTAACTAGAGTGGCTGCCAAAAGAATGTGAGTTTAAATATTGTTTACAATTTCTTTCTCACTTGTTTAACAGCAAATTATTTGCTTTTAATCCATCCCTCCCCAGTACTATTTCTTCCTCACCAGGAAACGGAACATGGGATACTTTTGTCAGACCAGTAATTATAACACCAGGAGATGATGGAACAGTGTAATTTAAGAAAAATCTATGTCTGAAATTACTGTGGTAATCAGAGCCAGAGATATTGTGGAACTCTAGGCCTGGACTGGCCAATATTATCCTGAAATCAGGACAACTATGACTACAGGTAAGAGCACTCACAAGATCCAGCCTATGGACATTCCCTCCTCGGGAGGGTGGGGCAAGGGTAACCGGCCCTCATCTGAGATTATAATCGCTCACTCCTTCCTGTGCACCCCGTCCCCATCTGCACACCCTCCCGTCCAACTACACATGGTCAGGAGAGGTGACGGACTACGCAGGAGTAGAAGTTAGCTGCGGGAGGGACTCCATCGATGTGGCTCTCAGGAGGTCATCCCCCGTGCTGCTGGACTGCAACGCTTTAGTGATGAGCTGTTCTCGAGGCATTCATCTTAGAGGGAAGCTCATCCGTTCTCCTGTAAGGAAGCCCAGCAAACGTATTTGCTCACCAGCCCAGGCTTTCACGGCATTGTTCCTTTGGTCCGTCATCAGTGCCTATCTTGGATCAATATCCGTTTGTTCCTGTCTCCACAGGAAAAGCAGTGTAACAAGTGATTACTTTTTATTATGTAAGAAAGAAAGTGCTATTGTGGTTTTCTCATGCCACCTGCTCGCCCGGGGTCATAACAAAGAGAACAACAGAACGCCCTCCTGTAATGAGAGGATGAGTGCTGTGTGAGGGGAGTTTCTTCTGACATAACACAAAGTAAATTAAAACCACCATGAAATCTGTGGGAAAGATTACATAAACAGCAAAACCGAAAAAGCAACAAAAGTGATGAAATCTAGTTTTAAACAAACATTTGAAGAAAGCAACACTTATATTTTGAAAATGTGAATTAATACAATTTTTGGTGAAACTAACTACATCAACAACAAAAATAAATTAAAACAATATTCCGGGGAAGCGTTTAGGAAAAAATGATATGGTTGAAAGAAAATTCATGATCTCTGCAGTCCATTGTAAGATAAAGATTTTGTAGCATGTCAGATTGCTATACAATTTTATTCCTGGGCTCAGTTCTGGGTAATCTGAAAATTACTTCACCTTCCTGTGTCAGTTCCCTTACCTGCAGAGAATGCTCACTGTGCTCAGTGCTTTGCGAACATCAAGTCAGATTTTAATAGAAAATTCTCATCTGCCTACAACTTTAGTCTGATCGGGAGAAACACGGCTGCCTGGAGCTGTCAGTCTTCCACAGGTCTCCTGACTTCCAAACTTTTCCACGGAAATAACTCTCAGTAGCTGACAGAACTTGGAATTATTTATTCCCCCCTCCAAAAAAAATTGTGGAGAACATAAAAAACCTCTAGTTCTTTAAAAAATTTTTATTCAAAAAATGTATGTATATTTGGTATTTCACTTCTAGCATAACTTTTTATTTTACTAAAACATGGTTACTCTAATGTAAAGAGTTAGCCTCCCATTCAGTTCCACTCCCCCCAAATTTGTCTTATTTGACTTATAGGCTCATCTAGCTGCAAAGCACACATATAATACAACAATATAGGCTCTGGGTCAAATCCTAATTCTGCTAATTATATGCCCTTTGAAGCCAGGCAAGTTAATTAAGACAACGTTTACTCTTGAGTGCAGGGAAAGGTGTAGAGCAATGCCCAGCATGTGTGCCAGCTGAATGTGCATGCTGGGAAAGGTGTAGAGCAATGCCCAGCATGTGTGCCAGCTGAATGTGCATGCTGGGAAAGGTGTAGAGCAATGCCCAGCAAGTGTGCCAGTGGAATGGGCATGCAGGGAAAGGTGTAGAGCAATGCCCAGAATGTGTGCCAGCTGAATGTGCATGCCGGGAAAGGTGTAGAGCAATGCCCAGCATGTGTGCCTGCTGAATGTGCATGCCGGGAAAGGTGTAGAGCAATGCCCAGCATGTGTGCCAGCTGAATGTGCATGCCCAGCCATGTCACGAACACTTCTGTCCGTCTCCCCTTGTTTGCAGTTGTTGTCAATTCCCATCCCACCATTTTTTTTTTTTTTTGGTTTTTCGAGACAGGGTTTCTCTGTGCAGCTTTGCGCCTTTCCTGGAACTCACTTGGTAGCCCAGGCTGGCCTTGAACTCACAGAGATCCGCCTGGCTCTGCCTCCCGAGTGCTGGGATTAAAGGCGTGCGCCACCACCGCCCGGCCCCATCCCACCATTTTCATCCCAGTAACTCAAGAAATACCTGTAACTGTGCCTTCCTTAGCTGCTGGCTGGTAATCTGAGATTTCTGTTGCATCATACTGTCAATCCGTTGATTGACTTGCTTTTCCTTCTTGAGCTCATTTCCATAAAATCTGGACCCCTACAGAGAAAGCCAAGCAGAAGAGAAGCCTAAGAAGGAGAGGTCCACTGCAGTGACTTAGTGGCCAAGAGCGGTACCCTGGAGTCAGACTGCAACCTGAAAGTTCCTTCACCTTTCTGTGTCAGTTTCCTCGTCTGTGAAGAGTGCTTCCCTAGTATGCATGAGGCCCCAAACTCAACACCATGCACACACACACACACACACACACACACACACACACTCCTAAATCATTTCATTCTTGTCAGACAATACTACAAAGAAGCAATCTGAGTTAAGGTTTGTATTCAAAACAAAACAATAAAAAATGTCAGCTGTGCTGTGTCCATGGGGCATATTCAAGCTTTGCCAGCTAGTTCCTTGGTTATTTCCTCACGTGTTTCCTTTCAGAATTTTAGAAGTAAGTCATTAAAGAGCACAACGTAAGACACTGAACCAAGTCTGTTATTCCACCACAGAACACAGTGGCTATTGACTGACCAGGTTGTAAGTATTAAGTTAGTTTTACATTTGGTTCTCATGAAAATGCTGCTACAGAGATTTATGCACAGTTCAGCATGAACAGACATTGTCATTCCTCTTTGACGAGGGTATTTCTGTGTCTTATGGTAATGCATGTTTAATCCTTTGAGTAACTGCCAAACTGTTTTCCATGACTGAATCATTACTCTGTTACTGCATATGAAGGTTCCAACTTCCCCATTTCCCTGCCAACACTTTTGATTGTATTATTTATTATAGCCATTCTAGCCAATAATAATGTGAATGGCATCCTCCTAGGGTTTTTTAAGTTGCATTTCCTTAGTGACTAATGATGTTGAGTATCTTTTCATGTTTGAGACGTATGCACATCTTCACTTAAATACCTATTCATATCTTTTGACCATTTTTTGATCGAGTTGTTAGTGTTACACAGTTACCTCAACCTTATCAAAACATTCAGGCCGGGCGGTGGTGGCGCACGCCTTTAATCCCAGCACTCGGGAGGCAGAGCCAGGCGGATCTCTATGAGTTCGAGGCCAGCCTGGGCTACCAGGTGAGTCCCAGGAAAGGCGCAAAACTACACAGAGAAACCCTGTCTCGAAAAACCAAAAAAAAACATTCAGAAACAGAGTCTTTTGGTGCAGTTTTGATATGGCGATATATAAGCACAGAGAATAGAGGGAGAGATATAAATTGACAAAGTGGCTATGGGGGGTAATTTAGCAACTCATAAAATTATATACATATTATCTGTATTTTATAGAGCAATTCCACTCCTAGATATCTCTTTTATAGTCGCCACACATAAGATTAGTAAATATAGTCAGGTGGTGGTGGCACACATCTTTAATTCCAGTATAAGCGGGAAGATCCCAGCACTCGGGAGACAGAGGTAGAAGGAGTTCAAGGCCAGCCTGGTTTACATAATGAATACCAGGATAGCCAGGGTTATAGAGTGAGACCCTGCCTCAAAATAAATAAATAGACAAATAAATAAATAAATAAATATAATAATAAAGTAAAATAAAAGATTAGGAATGACACATATCAATCAGTAACAATTCTGATTAGATCAATAAACTATATCCACATATGCAAGTATGAATCCACCATCCAATTATAACATGCATTTACAAGGGATAAAAAGAAAATGAGAAAAAAACATGTTCACTCTTTTGCTTTTATATGCATATTATATAAATTCAAAGTAGAAAGCTTGGTAACAAGAACAACAGATTTAAAAAGCATTTATATATTCCCTAGCTTAATGAAATATTAAAACATTTTTAATTAATAAAAGGATAGTAAACCAAAACCTAATGGTTTTCTTTTAATACTAACTAAATCATAGATACTGAAAGAAGCAAGAACATACCTTTGTGGCGTCCATTATAATTTTGTTTATTTTCTCTTTATCCAGTCCTTCCATTCCTGCTTTATTATCATTCAGTCCCATCCTAAGCAGAAGATCATCTTTGCAACTTTTCTTTTCTTTTGTGCTATCCATGGTGTAAACAAGGTAATTTCTTCTTTACTAGCTGCAAAGGCATACAAAATAAGCACTGTTTTTAGGTGTCCAGAGAAGGGCCAGAGATAAAAAACCTAGTAGAGTGCTTGCATAGTATGCAAGAGGCTCTAGGCTCGATCCCCATGGGGCACAGCAACCCTGGGGAGGCAGGGAAGAAGAACAGAAGAAGCTCAAGGGCATCCTCAGCTCTACAATGAAGTTCAGGTTGGTTTGAGCTACATGCAACTGGGTCTTAAAAAAACAAAACAAAACAAAACAAAAAAAACATTTCTTAGCTCTTGAAAAATTACTACTCAGCCAGGCGGTGGTGGCGCACACCTTTAATCCCAGCACTTGGGAGGCAGAGGCAGGCGGATCTCTGAGAGTTTGAGGCCAGCCTGGTCTACAAAACAAGTTCACAGAGAAACCCTGTCTTGAAAAGCCAATAATCAAAATGCAAAAACCAAAGAAGAAAAAAAAAAGAAAGAAAGAAAGAAAAAGAAGAATTACTACTCAAATTTTCCATTATTACCCTAAGCTTACTATCTTTCTGGAGACAAGGAAAGAATGGACATTTCTTGTACATTTTGTTCCAGCCACCATGCTTGCTGCCCGACATATACATGCTCAATAGCCCAAAAAGACAGATGGTACTACTCCAGATATAACAAGAGAGGCCTGAGTCTCAGAACATGTCTGCTAACATAAATTCGCTAGAAAATAGCTACATGTTTGTTAAAAACATATCCAAGTCCAAACCTCGTGGGGTTTTTTTCTATTGAAAATTTTTTTCATATCTTCCCCATCCACTCAAATCCATACCCTTTCATTCTCTCTTTAAAAAACAAACAAGCAAACAACAACATCAACAACAACAAACATGAACAAAGAAACTAGGAAACACACACATGCACACACACCTATAAATGGAAACCAAAATATACAAGCTAAAGATCAATAAGACAAAAAAATGCCAACCAAAACAGTTTGAGACAGAAAGTCTACAAAAATACTATTGAGTTCATTTTGTGTTGGATACCTACTGCTGGGAATGGGGCCTACCCTGAAGTGTGGTTAATATACCCAATGAGGCTCCACTGGAGAAAAAGAATTGTTCAGTTACAAGCAGATATCAAATACAGATAGCTTCTTGGTTAGGGTTGGGAGTTCCTGTTCACTTCCCCCTCAGCAGTGGGACAACCTCAGGCTTAACCTGTACCAGCACTGTGCATGCTTCCAGTCTCTATAAATTCATATGTGAATCCGTCCTGTTTGGAGGATACTGTTTTCTGGAAGTCATCCATCCTCTCTAGCTCTTACCATCTTTCTGCTTTCTCTTTCATGTAGCTCCCTAAGCCCAGAGGGGATGGTTTTATGAAGACATCCACTTAAGAAAAAGTGTTCCAAAATCTCTCACTCTGAATATTGTCCAATTATGATTCTTGGTGTTAGTTGCCACCTAATTGCAAGAAGCTGTTTCTCTGATAATGCTAAATTAGGGATTGATTTATGGGTACAGCAGAATTTTATTAGGAGATAGTATATTGTTATGGTTCCTTTAGAAGAGTAGTTCTCAATCTGTGGGTCACGATCCCTTTGGGGGTTGAATGACTCTTTCACAAGGGTCACCTAAGACTATTGGAAAACACAGATATTTACAACTCATCTAACAGTAGCAAAAAATTAAAGTTATGAAGTAGCAACAAAAATAATGTTATGGTTGGGGGTCACCACAACATGAGGAATTGTATTAAAGGGTCATATCATTACAAAGGTTGAGAACCACTGCTTTAGAAGAGTAATAGTATGAAGTTTTCCCTTAGGCCCATGGCCGTTCTAGTCTAGGGTTCTTAGCCACCACAGCAGTGTCAGACATGGGTTCCATCTCATGGAGTGTGTTTAAATCCAATCAGAGTGGTTGGTTGCTCCCACAAGGTTTGTGCCACTATTGCACCGGCATCTCTTACTGGAAGACCACTGTTGCAGATTACAGGGTTTGTAGTCAGGTTAATAGTTACCTTTCTTCTCTGGTATCATTTAAGAATACTCCCCAGTACCATGAACGCTAGTCTTTAGGGGTGAAGCCTCTAGTTAGGCACTAGCTCTACTGCTCCATGTTTGATGAATTATGTAAGTGCTGTATCAGCAATAGGGCCTTACCATCAGTTTTTGAAGAGCAACCAAGGGAATTTCCTTGGTGCCACTTTGGCCAATGACTCAAATAGATATAACCCATTCCTGGGACTGGAGGTTTTATTTGGTGGCATAAGATGTCTACTCAGGACATTGTCTTCCCCATTATTTGATGACTCCATTTAGATTTATTTCATATACGTATATATTTTAAAAAGCTTCTATAGTAGTGGGTTTCCATTTTCCCTCAAATGGCTCTTAGTGTAGGAGGCTTTCTTGGACTACCATCCCTCAAATCGTGACACAGAGACTTACTATTAATTATGAATGCTCAGCCTTAGCTTAGGCTTGTTTCTAGCTAGCTTTTTAAACTTAAATTAATCCATTTCTATTCATCTATGTGCTGCCCTGAGGCTCATTTACCTCATGTATGTACTGTCCATCCTGCTTTCCTGCTTCCTCCATGTCTGGCTGGCTGGCTCCCCTTTTCTCTCTGCCTACCAGTCCAACCTATCCCCCCTCTGCCTAGCTATTGGCCGTTCAGATTTTTATTAGACTAATCAGGTGCCTTAGGCAGGCAAGGTGAAACAGCAACACATCTTTACAGAGTTAAACAAATGCAGCATAAATAAAAGCAACACATCTTTACCTAGTTAAATATTCTATTCCACAACATCTTAGTGTCAGTTGTCCCTCCCCACATTCTCTCCCTCACCCCC